GCCGTGACTCGCACTCTCATGCATACATGTACATACAAGGCAGCAAATCCGTGTCCAGTGCTTTGTAATCATAGATCAGGGAGCATCACTGGATAGGTACTCCTCACCTGCTTTGGCGGAACAGGCATGATCTCATTTAGAACCTGTTTTGCTGGAATGCTGTAATAGTAATAATAGAGTTTGTTTTGGTTTTGTCGGAATGCTTTAGATTGTGGAGGATGTCATGTGCCGTGACCCTGAGGAGAATTCGTCTCACTTCATGGCAATCCTGGTTGAGTCGCTGTCGAAACTTGGAACTGTTACGGAGTGTATCGAGGTATGCAGTGGGCAGTTCTTCACACATGTGCAGTCCTGCTTCAAGGCATTAGTTTTGATAGCACATGTAGTAGTAGTAGTGTATTGTATTTTCCATTGGATACCGCAACAGTGATGAACAGTGATAAGCGTAACTCTTGAAAAGGGCTGATAACATATTACACGTAATGCTGTGTAGTACTCATACATCAGACGGGTTGTTTGCTGGCTGCTGTCATCAGTTAGCTATTCGAACCTTGTTAGGTCTCATCAGCAGAGCTCAGAGTGACTGGTCAAACCGATCGCAATGTACGGGATAGCAACGGAACTTTATGCTACGTCGTGTGCTTACAGTGCTTGTGAAATGCAGTAGAAGCATGATGGCAGTCTCCGTGTACTCACTCTCATGTTGTAATGTCTGCCCAGTCCTTAGTGGCGACGGCGGCTTCCATTCAACACTCTGCCATAGTTCCATTCTGTAGCTAAGTGCTACAACTGTAACCGTGGGTGTATCATGTTGTGAAAACCAGAAAATTTCAACAAATCCGCACGCCTTGCTGTTCGCTGCATCATCGAAGTACGGCTGTACTAAACTTTAAAGGGTCCTGTCCTCGTGGCATGCTGTTGTTTTCCAGGCTATCAAGACCAGAATGAATGGCGAGATGAGAGCTATCGTTGAGCTGCTCTCTGAACAGGTTGGAAAGAGGTGAGAAATGCTGGTCAGTTCCGCTAGAAATACACAGTCGGCATTGCTTGTCAGTGCTGGCAAGTTCTTGACTCTTGTTGAACCTGCTGATCTCATCCCTAGCCTATTTAGTGTTCATATTTGAAGTTGTAACTCAGCTCACAGCATTTATTCTTCTTCTGGGGACACAGCATTTCTGAAAGCTGTCTTAGGTGTCCACGATTTGCTTCCCGGCGGTTTTTAACATGATTTCTGAGTCGAATCAGTGTTCACTGGGTGTCTATTGATCTTGTTTGTTCTCTATTAGATTATTCTGACATGTGGAGATTGATCGTAGTTCTCCGTTGCCATTTTGTGCACCCCTCTTTGTTCTATTTCACTGACAGTGCTGAAAGGCGTGGTGAAAGCCTGTTTCCACAGTCGGTAAGTGACACTCGGTGTGCTCACGGTCACAGTGTAGCACCAACTAATTGAAGATAGCCGGACACTACACTGAAGTAGAGCTACTGCGGGGAACTTCACTGGATGACAGTGTGCATCTGGCCTGGTTTACCGGTCCAGTGTTTTTAAACTTTATGTAGTGGCAGGAAGCGGCTTTCTTATTGTCTTAACCTGATAAACCAAGGTACACTGATGTTGGTTTCTGTACACATTGTCTGTTGACAGTCAACACCTGGCCAATCCAAACTCCTGCTTGAGCTCCTGCAACTGTGCTTTGAGAAGTTCCGTGCTGTGGGACAGGCGCACAAGACCTTGCTGTGCCATTTCAAACGTGCCAATCAGGTAACTGTTGCGTGTGCTCATCATGTGACTTCTGGTACCACCACGGCTGCAACTGTTGCTGCTGCTGCTGCTACCAATTCTGCTACTGCTGCTACCAACTCTGCTGCTGCTGCTATCAACTCTGCTGTGACTGCTGTTACCAACTCTGCTGCTACCAACTCTGCTGCTGCTGCTGCTATCACTGATGCTACGGCGACCATACTTGACAGGTTGTGACAGGCTGACTACCGGCCTCATTAAGGCACGAGACTTGAGTCGATCATGTATTGAGATAGGATCATATTGTCGTTGTCTCTTATTTTATGTGGAAGTGTACTTCACAGTTGAGTAAATGTTCACCAACCATATTTGGCAAGAAGATTGCATCATCGTATACAGGAAAACCATGGTCAGTTCTTTGGCAATAATTTCGATAAAATGTGTGTGTGTGTTTGCGTACATTTCTGTGTCTGTTTTTGTCCTCTTCTAGGCATACAACACTGTCACAAGTAAGTTATAGCCCATCCTGACTCGATTTGTATCTTGATATTAAAATGTATTCTGTATTAGGTCAACGTATTTGTGTACAGTGTTAGAGTCATAGTGTGCTGCTAGTCCAGTAGCCTGTCTGATTTTCATGTCCACACATCACTGTCTGTAGTTTACAGGCAAGTCACAGTGTGGCAACTTACAATCTCTCACTCTTACACTGTAATAACTCATCTACTCCAGTAATACAAAGAGGTTCTCTCTCGCCAGCGCCGGAGACGACTCAACGCAATAATGTGGAGCACTATGTCGCAAGTCGCCTGGTGATTGTATTGAGCAAGAAACTCGGAGTTGCGACAAACTCTACAAACCTCCGCTGTGTCTTTTGTTTGTGCTTCAGTATTAATGTACTTCAAGTACAGTCAAACCTCTTTAGGACGAACACCAAGGGATCGGTGGTATTCGTTTGCAATAACGGGAGTTCTTCTTATCCATATTTTATACCCAGTGAATACACAGTGATTTATCCAATAGAGTTATGAACACTAGTTCTTCTTAAGCGAAAGTGTGTCTTATCAGTGTTCTTCTTAAGGAGGTTTCACTGTATATGACATTGTATACCTTCCTGTCTTGGGGAATTGCCGGCGCATCAACCAGGTGGTATGATAGTATGTTGACTGTGCTCGATATTCATATCACATTCTTGGTTTTGATTGCTCACTCCCGCAGCTGTGAAGCTTTACCCTGAGGCGCAGGTTTGGTCTGCCATTCAGTATGCGGTAAGTTATGGCAGGGCATGTCTTGCAATGGGAACTTGGCGCTCGGTCCCAGTATATTACCTCGGTTCCAATGCCTCAGTCAGTTCGCATTATGGTATGGAATAAAGATGTTCAGTTTGTAGTAGTTGACAAGTAGTATAAACCCAATACATTAGGCAAGTAATGGTGGCTGCGACGGTGATGCTGTGGTGGCTAAAGTAACTTGCAATCAGAAATGCAATTTGCCATGAATACTATGCTAACAAGAATTATAATATCACGATGTGTGTGGCTGTGTGTATGTTCATGCGTAAGTGCATGTGTGATATTCTCCTGTGTGTGTGTGTGTGTGTGTGTGTGTGTGTGTGTGTGTGTGTGTCTCGGCCACAGCTTCAGTTGTTGCTTGCAGAGTACTTTGATCTGCACAATGTCCCGCGGGGTCAAAAGAAAGCAACGACTTTCAATGACCATAGGTGAGACTCACCGTGACAGGCATGCATAGACCGATTGTTCAGTGTTCTGTAGTACATGGTATGACAGTGAGCGCTATGACACATGGCAGTGAGTGTTAGTACATGGTATGACAGTGAGTGTTATGACACATGGCAGTGAGTGTTAGTACAAGTACATGGTATGACAATGAGCATTAGTACATGGTATGACAGTGGGTGTTGGTACGAATACCATGGTAGGACAGTGGGTGTTAGTACGAATACCATGGTATGACAGTGGGTGTTAGTACGAATACCATGGTAGGACAGTGGGTGTTAGTACGAATACCATGGTATGACAATAACTTACGTGGTAGTACATGGTATGACCATTGGCATCCGCCATTCCGCTCTTCTTCTAAACGCATGCTTGATTTAGCTGGGGAGCGGAAGGAAGGGGGGTGCACTGCAACACTGAGCAGAATGTGTGGAATGTCCCGATCATGGCATGCTCTTGTCCGGCTCTTGTCAGGCTCTCAATGAACTCATTCTCTGGTCAGGGTCAGTGTTGTGCTGAGCCTGGCTGACTACTGACTCAGCCTCAGCCTGGTACCAGTATGTAAGCGATCGCGCCAGTACAGGGATGTCGCAGTGCTGCTAAGTTTCTTTAGTATAATTATTATACCTGAACATGTATACCAAAAGAGGAAACCTGCTGCAGTAGAATCTGAATTGAGACCCCCATGATTCCTTGTGGCGAAATCCTGTTTTTGTGAACTTTGAATGATCAGTGTTGTTACTTGTGACACAACAAAGCGGTGTGTATAGCCGCTGCACAGTGTAACTAGAAACAATTGGTAAGCAGACTGACACGTTTGTGTGTGCATCAGTCAAGGTTAAATGCGTGTGTTGTAAAGATTCGATTGCACAGTTGAAGGTGTTGCTGCGTGTGTGTATTCTGTTTGCTTTTGCTATGCAGCGGAGTGTCGGCATACTATGATGTATCTGGCGGACGTAGGAGACACGGACAAGGCACTAGTGTGGGTTTGGACTGCCGTCGCATAATCACTATAACTTTATGTTCACGTTATTGTAACATGATCTACGTGCTGTACTGGTGTGTGTATGAGAGATTTGTGTATTTAGGCTGCACACAGCTACAAGTAGTCACTCTGATATTTGTTCCATGTCTTGGTTGTCCCTGCCCAACAGGATCGGAAAACTCTGTTCACGTTTGAACGCTCGTCGGTGGCAATGAACGTCAGTACATACATGCGAGAGAAACAACAGGTTGACGAAGTGAGTCATGGTGAACATGATTGTGTTCAATAATACATGTTATGATGGTTAGTGTCATTGCTATGCGAGTATTGTATTACTGGCTCTGTCCACTTGACATAGAGCACTATACGCAGCCTGATAGAAGGCTCTGTTTACCGGGAGAACGGAACGGTAAGATTCTAACGAGGGTGACGTCACAGGTCGATCGTTGTGTCAGAGGTCGAAATGCTAATCATGTCTTGAAAACACACAAAAACGGTACAAGCCGACGGTTGAAGTTCGGGTGAACGGTAAAATGCTAACCATGTCTAATATGTTTATGGGTGGCAGCAGCTCCTTACTGGCTAGACTGACTGTACTGTGTGTGCTATGCCGGTATGTGCGTGTGTGTGATAGGTGGTACCCACACTGGCCATGCAGCATTCCCATGCTCTGCAGGCGCATCTCTGCAAGCCACAGTCTGGCAATGTCACAGGTATGATTAGTACGAGTATAACTCTGATTATCCAGACTACATGTGCATGGTAGTGCATGGTACTGGTGAACACTTCAGAGCTGATCCGCATTGACTTCACCCCAGCAATCACAGCTAGAGATTATGTTGACGTTGCGGCTTCTTAGAGCTATGCTACATGCGAGCATGTATACACTCGGCCCTGCCCCAAGGGTGACTTTTAACCGGCAGCTCACTTCGTTGAGTGTCACAGTCACTCGTGTCGTCTCCCTGTATGCTACGACTCCCTGTATGCTACGACTCCCTGTATGCTACGACTCCCTGTATGCTACGACTCCCTGTATGCTACGACTCCCTGTATGCTACGACTCCCTGTATGCTACGACTCCCTGGCTACCACATATGCTTGATGTTACAGCCTATGGTTCTGACCTCCCTGTGACGGGTATGAATCTACTATCACGGTGGTCGCAGATCGTCCAGCCTCATCATTGCGCCAAAGTGGGGTACCCATACATAGTGTGTACAAGCCTTCAGGAGCAATTGACTCCCATATGTCAACAGCATAGTTTCAGGGTTCTAGTCCAATACAAGTGGGAATGTCCCTTCCGAGGCAGGACAGTTGGACAGCCGGTAGAATGATATATTTTGGGTGGACAGTTTAGTAGCCAATCTATACTGTGACTGACAACGGGCGCCACGCATCTCTATGCGGGGATCTACTGTGGTGCCATGACCTGTGTTTCAGCGTCGTTTTGTGCATGCCTGTTGTCCTCTAACGGCAGTTGTCTTCAACGCAGTGCTATCATACGTCAACGAAATAGAATTATGCCTCAATTTGAAGGATGGGTGAGGACAACTTCTATGACATTGCCCATTTTTCATTGCTATTTTTAGATGATGTTGTGCTGGCCTTCCTTGTCTTCCAGTACTGTCTAATGGATGCATCCTCATTTGCTCTTCTCTCTCTCTCTCTCTCTCTCTCTCTCTCTCTCTCTCTCTCTCTCTCTCTCTCTCTCTCTCTCTCTCTCTCTCTCTCTCTCTCTCTCTCTCTCTGTCTCTCTCTCTCTCTCTCTCATTGAATGGACATGTAGGTGATCCTCTTACCAACTACATGTATTAGTGAAAAGTTTCCCCGGGGAGGAAAATTCTATCCCACTTGCTTATGGGGAACTTGAAGTTTGTCCTCAGCTCCCAGTGATCACTATGTTTGTGTCATGCTTGTTGCTGCTGCTGTTCCACAGAAAACGATGTTCACTGTATGAGTTCATTGAGGAATTTGTACGCATTCACTACGTGGACGAAGTCCAGTTGCAACTCTCTGAGAAATTGGAGTCGGCTACTAAAGGTATTGGAAAACCCGTGCTGCTCTGATTGGAATATTTATGTGATACTGTTTGAAGGCTGCATGCCCGTTCTAGAGTAAGACTGATCTCTGTCGCAGCTGCGAGCAATTGCATGGCTATCCCCTAGACGTATCGTATTGGCCCGACCATGGTCGGGTAGCTGGACAAGTCACGTCTAAACTGGACAAGTCACGTCTAAACTGGACAAGTCACGTCTAAACTGGACAAGTCACGTCTAAACTGGACAAGTCACGTCTAAACTGGACAAGTCACGTCTAAACTGGACAAGTCACGTCTAAACTGGACAAGTCACATCTAAACGTTATTAGTTGTGTGCTTCATACCTCCTTCCTTTTCATTGTCGTCTCAATCCCCTTGGCATGCAGTGGGCTATTGCGATGACTGCTGTCAATGACACAGCCATGCTGCAAGCACATGTATGCCTTAGTTAGTGTTGCTGACCCTTGCAACAAATGCATTGATTTAGTTTGCTGTGCATGCAGCTACAGCAGACGGATCCTGTCAAACATCTTTTGATTCATGTTATGATTATTATGCGTGAGAATGGTATTGTGGTAGTGTGATCATGAAAAAGATGTGTATATCAGTAAATAATTGCATTCTTACCCGCCTGTGTGGACTCACAGGAAGTGTGAGTTACGAAGTCTGAAGAAAATGTTGAACAGTCTATGCTGGGATGACGACTACACCATAGCTCAGTGGTTAGAGCATCGCTAGCTACAAGCGAGGGTCCCTGGTTCGAGTCCTGGTGGTGACAGTCAATTTTTTCTTCAGACTTTTCCCGTTTGTCTCTTTCCCTCAGACTAGTGAAAATTGCATTCTTCAAAGTATTATAATGCGAACCTTTGACTATCTTTTGTCTAGGCAACGAGTCGCATAAGCACATCACTGATGAGGTTGTGTTGAAGAAGGCTGGTTCGTTGCGCCCACTAATGCATGGTGCGTTGACAATCTGGGACTGCGTGACCCGCCTACGTCAGCTGCGCGATCAGCTCCCGCCGTACGCTGCGGTGTTCCGTCGCATGATGTGCTCCATCCTGAGCACGTACTATGATCACTGTCAGGTCATGTATCGAAGTGAGTTATCACTGTAGTATGCCACACTCACAGCACTCGCCCTGACAATTGCAGTCACGCTAGTATTAGTACTGACGCTTGCACTCGTACGGTGCACTCGTACGGTGCACTCGTACGGCGTGTGCTTTTTAAACTGTATTTACCACTACACTACAATGTACTACTGTGGTGGTGGTGGTGGTGGTGGTGGCTATCAGAACACACCCGTGCTGCAGCAGCCCTTGTTATCACCCTGCATGAAGTCCCAGTGCCAGTGCACTGCCATCAGTGTGTGGCTGACTGGCCGTGCTGGACAGTCTCCGGCACAGTGCAATGCCTGTGTAAGCCTGATAGTCAGTGTGGTAGTACTAATGCGTGCGGGTGGTGTGGTTGTGCCGGTGTGTGTGTGTGTGTGTATGCGTGTGTGTGTGTGTGTGTGTGTGTGTGTGTGTGTGTGTGTGTGTGTGTGTGTGTGTGCACGCATGCTGTGTGTGTGCATGCACAGGGTGTGTGCGGCTGGGTGATGACAGCAGCGAGACATTGCTGAGTGCATACTGGTTACTGGACAACAGCATAGCCGAGGAATTCAGGTAGGGAATACGCATGTTGTGTTGAGTGTGTACTGTGGCGGCCTGTTTTCAGGGTCACAATGAGATGAAATACCTCAGTGCTGTGACCGGGCCCGGCCGCTAATGTCATCATCATCACTCAGGTGTAACTGTTTCTTTACAGACAGTACAGTACATGATTGTATACACATGGTGGTGTGAATGCTGCTGTCTGATGATCGCTCCGATGCGTGAAACTTTAAGTTACAGCTAACACAGCCTTTCACCTCTGTTGTGTGTGTATACTGCTCTGTACATTCGTACATTGAGCACTCTACCTCGAGCTTCCTGGACCGGCCTTGTTTGTTGGTACATAGTGATGTATTCGTACCGGTCAATGTAATGTGAAGAATGGCCTTTCTGGGGAGTCCACATTATTGTTCTGTACGGCGTTCCATGCACCCAGTGGAGTGGTTATCTCGCAATCCTGACTCCGGCTGTGGCAATGTGGCAATGCTTTTGCACTGTTCTTCAGGGCACAGCCAAGCTGGAAACTCTTCGAGGCCTTGCAGGAACCCTATCGTCGTGTAGGTCGTGTGTGAATCAGTCTATCAGCGGCATAACTGGTCATCATAATTTTCTTTTACGACCGCGGTGTGATATACAATGTAGGATAGGCAGGTGCAAAGACTATTCTTCTGTCTTATCTAGATTTATGATTTATGATGGGAAGAGAAGTCAAGCTCCCTGAAGCTAAATGTGGCAGAATATGAATGTGCCGAGCATATGAATTTGGTATGTGGCACGTGATGATCCAAATGATTGTCTTGATAGAAAATGGAAAGCTTTGGTGGAGGGGTATATGCAGTTTTATTCCGAATTTGTTTTTGATGTGCTGGTTGGCCCATGCCATCCACAATTGTGGCACAAGTCGTGGCAGGTAATGCATCCGATTGACACCACACACTCATCCAATGGTGTCACATACTCATCCAATGGTGTCACACACTCATCCAATGGCGTCACATACTCATCCAATGATGTCACACACTCATCCAATGGCGTCACATACTCATCCAATGGCGTCACATACTCATCCAATGATGTCACACACTCATCCAATGATGTCACACACTCATCCAATGATGTCACACACTCATCCAATGGCGTCACATACTCATCCAGTGATATCACACACTCATCCAATGATGTCACATACTCATCCAATAATGTCACACACTCACGGTGACGTCAACTGTGGTGTTTGTACTGTTCCCTTCTTGTGTTCACCGTTGACCCTGATGCCATCGCCGGCACCACTGCCACTGCTGTCACTTCTGCCACTGTTGCTGCTGCTGCGTATGCTGTTGGTGCTGGTGTGGATATGCGGTTTGACGCCAACAGAGTACTATTACTGACGGTTCTGACATGCATTCGTCCAAGTTTGATGAGGTATGGTGGTGATGTTTACGCATGTGTGTGTCTGTGCAGGTTTGCATGTGCAGGCATTGTGTTCTTGTTGTGCCGGTTCTAACTGGAGGAGTTCAGCACCCAGAGTAATATTCAGGCTCCAAAGGTCATGTGCACATCACATTTTTGTAATTGAACCAGTGCTATGCTGCAACCCTTCCCATCCGCGGGCCATATGCCATTTGACGCTGCATTGAAACTCTGTCTCTGTATTGCGTAGTGTATGCCCAGTCGCCTGGGCTACAGTACTAGTAGTGTATGCCCAGTCGCCTGGGCTACAGTACTAGTAGCCCATTTAGCAATTATTCACACATGACATGGACTGTAAACGTGCTCGTATCCCAGGGGCAAGACGCTGCTGTGTGCTACCAGTCACATGTCGCGGTGCTGGATTGCTGGGGTAGAGTGGCTAGGCTAGGTCACGGCTATTTAAATTGCCTTTATGTGTCTGTCTGTGTGTCTGCCTGTCTGTCTGTCTCTTGTGCATGCACATGTCTGTGTGTGGGTGTGGGTGTATGTGGGAGCGGGAGCGGGAGTGGGTGTATCTGTGTGTGGGTGTATGTGGGAGTGGGAGTGGGTGTATCTGTGTGTGGGTGTATGTGGGAGCGGGAGCGGGAGTGGGTGTATCTGTGTGTGGGTGTATGTGGGAGCGGGAGTGGGTGTATCTGTGTGTGGGTGTATGTGGGAGCGGGAGCGGGAGTGGGTGTATCTGTGTGTGGGTGTATGTGGGAGTGGGAGTGGGTGTATCTGTGTGTGGGTGTATGTGGGAGCGGGAGCGGGTGTATCTGTGTGTGGGTGTATGTGGGAGCGGGAGCGGGAGTGGGTGTATCTGTGTGTGGGTGTATGTGGGAGTGGGAGTGGGTGTATCTGTGTGTGGGTGTATGTGGGAGCGGGAGCGGGAGTGGGTGTATCTGTGTGTGGGTGTATGTGGGAGTGGGAGTGGGAGTGGGTGGGAGTTCATGTGCACCTGTTTGTGCATCATGACCGAAGTTTCATGTACATGACTCAGTGTGTGATTTGGGTTTGGGTTTGGTTACTTCTTTTTAACATTTGTCTGTAGGAGAGTCAACTGGTTCTGAACACGGCAGCGCGGGAGGCGGATGACGACACAGGGGCTATGCCAGTGTTATCTGACTCCTGTATCCTGGGTGACCGCGATGACTTGAAGCTACTCGCTGGACTGCAGGAAAGCTTGGTAAGCAGAGAAACGATTGGTAAGCCCGTGGTGCAGCAATCACCCGCCAGGATGCATCAGGGCTGCTCAGTTGCTCGGCCAGTATCATGATACTAAGTTTCTAGATTCTACCCAGCTGCACTGTGCAGAGTACTGTAAAAGCAGAAATTTTCGGTGGTGTAATATTTTCGGTATTCGACAAAATCGGCGGTTCGGTGGAGGGAAATTTTCGGTAAAACCCGTTCTCCAGGTAGGTGTACTAGTACTACATGTATACAGTATCGGTTGTACCGAAAATTTCGGTGCGTTTTATTTTCGGTAAAAATCGTCGGCACCGAAGTTACCGAAAATAAAACACCACCGAAAATTTCTGCTTTTACAGTATTCAATGTAGCTAGGTACAATGAATGGTACCTAGCTACATACAATGATGGGTTAGTGGATGTCTGCTACCCTTGAACACCTGACTAGTGTTAAAGTTGTGTACCACTATGTAGTCTGATACTGTGTAAAGTTGACACCCTATTCGCAAGCTCGTGGGGAACAAGGGTTTTGTGGGCATGTCCGTTGAACCTTTGTTGATCATGTCCTCGTTTTTCCTTTTTTTACACACAAACACACACGCGCACACACACACACACACACACACACACACACACACACACACACACACCGGCATATCCTGTGTTTAGGAGTGGCTGTCAGTGCGGATCCGAAAAGACCTATTGCCAGGCTTGGGCGGTGAAGAGGTGAGTCCTTTGGCATGATGTACGCTGGCACAAACCCTTCTGACTCCGAGCAAAATGATTCCTTTGGGCAGAGCTTCCATGGGAGGCCATTGAAACACTCCGATTGCTATTCTGGGTGGCACCATGCAGACATGTAGCTAGTAGATCTCGGTCACTACTAATGAGTCGTGACAATACACTGAGGGGTTGAATTGAAATGACAATACAGGGGTTGAATTGAAATGACAATACAGGGGTTGATTTGAAATGACAATACAGGGGTTGTCAATACAGGGGTTGAATTGAATCCAGTACGACTTCAGGTAAAGTATCTGTATATTTGAACTCCATAGCCACTCCAGCTTGCTGCTTATGCCATACACACCAGGAGTCTTTGGCAACAGGACGATATCGATGCAGTGGCTTGTCATCTGAAGAGGCACTGTGATAGATACTTGCCCAGATGGCCTTGTGCATGGCCTGCAGATCACTGGCGTTACTGCGGATGGCCTTGTCGTAATATTATGCTGTAGTCTGTCCGTGCACGTTTTTGTCAGCCTGCCTTTTTACGAGGTCTTTATACCCTGTATAAACGTGCTTATATAAGAACAATGTTTCTCACACGCTGGTGTGTTGGTTGCTTGGTACACTATGCACCCGATGTTAACTTTCAAGTTAAAAGTCATGTACATGTACTCGGTTTTTGTTCTCTGTCTCTTGCAATGTCAGGATGCAACAGATGGAGAGACTCAGCCCCGGTATGTATCAAAGCAATCAGTGTACCCCGAACGGTGTCATTGACATTTTTAACGCTGTGTTCATCACACGATGTGCCAGCAAATAACTTCCTGGTGTACCGGCATAGCAAGTAATTGTACTTCAAGTACTTGTAGTAGTATTTAGTATATGTGCTCGTGTATTGTTTTCAATTTGTGCAGAAATTTGTGCATGTCGGTCACAACTAGTGCAAACGGTGTGCAAACGGTGTGCTCGTTTTGATGAGTAGATTAGCAGTATTCCCTGTGTATAACTGGATTTGTACTTGTATACAGGACCTTCACTAGTTTGAGGGAAAGAGACAAACGGGAAAAGTCTGAAGGAAAAATTGACAGGACCTTTGGCATAGTGAGATTCGATTACCTTGATTCATGTGTCTGTCTTTTTCTTGTTTGTTATTGCAATGTACACAGTTCTATACCGGAACTCTATGACAGTTTCTCTGAGCTGGCGTCCAACATCACTCTTCTCTTGCACCTTGAGCTCCGTATCCAGTGTGTGCACTGCTTACTGCCTGTTGCCAGACGGGTGAGTATTAGCTGTAGCCCGGAATACAACACACAATGGCATATCGCTGCTGCTGCTGCTGCTGCTGCTGTCTCTGCCACTGCGGCTGCTACTTTTGCTCCTGCCACTGCTGCTACTGCCAGCATGCCGCTCCTGGAAATACACCAAATGTGTGCTGCTGTCCCCTGCTGACACTGATGATGCTGACATGGCGTACTGGTTGCGCACTGCGGATGATGTGAACAGGTATACCTGTATGATCACATAGCCTTTATACGAGAAGCCGTAAAGCCTGAACTACTACTCTGCAGAGTCCAAGAACGGCCCCGGATGGCCTCGGACGGCCCCGGACGGCCCCGGGGGTAATCGTACATAACTGGTTATTGTAGTGTTGGGTCTAGGTGATGGTGCCGGTAGAGGTGGATGCCAGGATGATGTGCCCTGGCAGAAATAGCACACATACATGTACTTGTACAGTTGCGCTCATTGAAATCCGACCCAAAGTGCAAAGCTGCCACCCTCAGCTTCCACGGCCCTTGACGTCCTGGAAGTGGAACGGATGCTGCTGGACGTACACATGTACAAATACAATGATGTAATCGGAACCGGTCCAGGGCGCCAGCTTTGGATTTTGGGTTGTATTTCAGTGAACGCCGCCGCACTGGACTTGCTACATGACTGTACATACACGTGGCAGATGCATATTCTGGTCTTTGACGTCGGCGGCTGTTTCTCAAAGTGCCTGCTTTCTAAAGTAGTGAGCAGCCCCTTGGGCCTGGATAATCTTGTTCATATGGTGGATGCTGCTCAATGAAATGTGATTGTGTTAGTCAAGTTTGTGCCCTGCATCTGTTCACATCTAAGTGACTGCAGGTCTAGTAGGTCTAGGGCTGCACAGGGCCCCAGCATGTACTAGTACTTTTAAAAGTCACTGCGCGATGATCGGATTTCACTATGCAACACTCTGCCGATTACAAACATCACTACCGTGACAACTTCTTTTGATAACAGTAACACCGCTTCCACACAATGCAGTTTCATGTGTACGTACTTCAGTAGTTGGCCTCTCTTTCTTCAGTATGTTTCAACCATTTGCTGACCTCGCCAACTTTGTTGTCGCCTGCTTAGACGAACTATGTCTGTGAGGAGGAGCGCATGGAGGTAGAGCCAGCTGTTGTGCAGTTCAATCGGAAGCTCAGCGAAATGGAAGAGACTCTTTCAGCGGCGCTGGATGTGCCAAAGATCAAGTAAGTGGCCACGGCGACATCATAATCCGTGGCCGTACTGCTGCCAGAGCAGCAGCTGCCACATCATGTGGAGCTGGCGCGCTGTAAACTGAGAGGCTTGGTCTCTCAGTGCCTGTACTGGTTAGCCTACTTGGCACAGTTAGAATGTCACATGCTATATTTGGGTCTGGGAGTGATACGTGGCATCCACAAAAGGTTTTTTTAATTTTTTTCTTAAATTTTACCGTGCCCTACAGGTACAAGCGTGATATCGTGCATTCGCGTTCTCATACTTTGAAGTAGCACTACATGCAACCACACCAAAACCGGGTCGGTCATACACAAACTATAGCTGACTTTTCCAGCGATTGGTGGCGCAATCACACTCAAGCTGCATAGAGTGTCCGATACTGTCATCAGAATCCATTGGTGTACGAGCTCTCGTAGTAGTGCATGGGCGTGCTTTTCTTCCTTTCTGACCTTGTACTCAATAATGGGAGGGTAAGTAGTGGCTTTAGGCCAGAGAGAGAGCGGAGAGAGAGCGAGAGAGAGAGAGAGAGAGAGAGAGAGAGAGAGAGAGAGAGAGAGAGAGAGAGAGAGAGAGAGAGAGAGAGAGAGAGAGAGAGAGAGAGAGAGAGAGGAGGGAGGGAGGGAGGGAGGGAGGGAGGGAGGGAGGGAGGGAGGGAGGGAGGGAGGGAGGGAGGGAGAGAGTGCATGTGGTGGAGGTGGACTGACTAATTCTTTCTCCACCATTTAAAAACAATTGTCTGTTGCCTTCAGGTACATGTTTGATGGCCTAGGGCACTTGATTGGTATCCTGATGCGCAGTGCCACAATCTTCATCCAAGAGATCAACGCCAATGGAATCAAGAAATTGTGAGTAGAATCAGTCCGTTCTCTTGTCTCATACACGCTGTCACTATTATTATCATGGCAGCGAAGAGCTTTCGGTCCCAGGTGGAAGATCAGGTCCTTGACAATGCCGAACAGCAAGACCCACATGCCGCGACCTGCCGGGGCAGCGGAGGTTTCGCCTCAGCCTGCATCACCAGCACCTGGAAGAAGACATGTGAATAGAGCTGACTGCAACAACCAGAAAATTGCGGCGGCGCTCCCTGATTTTACACGATTGTACAGTGCTATCAGGTAAATTTAGCTGAAAGCGGCCATGGTACATCAAAGGATAATCCGGGTCACGGTTTTGCAGCTGATTTTGACAGCGAATACTGCATGGGGAAGTATTGTTCCTGTCTTAGCCTAATGATGATTTATATCATTCTAATGTCTTTCACTGCACATGTATATGTTGCTGTCCTGCCCCCAGGTGTCGCACAATCTTCTCACTTCAACAGAACTTGACCAACTTGACCATGGCCCGGGAAGTTGACTTGGATCGATCTCGTCAGTACTTTGAACTTCTCCATCTGAACGGCGATGTAAGTATTGTCTTCTGGACAGTGGACTAGGGGTCAAACGGGTGTACCTTTAACTAACGAACGGGTAATTTTCTTAACAGGCGGGTTAACGGGTACCCTTTAGCAGCCATATTATTTTTTTGCGCATTTCTCACATAAATCATGATTTAATTTGTATATTCTCAGGTTGTATTTTGATACTACATTATGATTCGCAATTGATTCGTGTATCATTATATTATTATGGCAATGAAGGTTCCAAATGAATGTCATCCGTGCATTTGCCCATGTACATAACTTCACAGGCAGTAACTTACAATCGTACATGTAGATGGTCCTACAAGCTACATGTACATGTATTTTGCTACATGTACGCAAATCAACTGCAGATCGATGTGATTCAAGCCATGCAAGGACAGAGTGGCTTAGCAAAACTTCCGTGATCTCGCGCAATCCTATTTGCTATGTTCGCAGAGAACTGGTACTCGTTGCATTCAGAAGATGTTCGCGCCCATAGCTAGCTGGGGTGCCTGACACAGCTGATGTGCTGCTGGCCAGCTAGCTGCTAGTGCTAGCTTGTTGAACTCGTGAAATGAATCTTCACAAATCCGTAATCTTGTATGCAATATTTCGAACTACTTTTCAGCTCGTCGATTGAAGGAACAAACTACAACCATGAGTATCATACATGTAGCTACCACCTACGGACATCACCGTTTGTGACACTCCGACTGGTCACTCAGCCTGGTGACACTAGTTCATCAAGTACTGTGGCAGGTTCGATGTCGGAGAACCATCGTAACTTTCTAGTTACTCAGCTGCCACCTCGAACGAGTTTCAAGTCTTGCATTTTCTCACATCACAATCAAAAACCTCCAGTACGAGGATTTTTACTTGCACTCGAGTGGAGAGAACAACTGTCAAGTCTGTCTTTCAGCCTGCTCCTGCCTGATAAAGTCGAAAGCGGGAATGCACCGGAAAAAGGAAAAGAGTATCCGCACTCCTATTTTGAGTCTTGGAATACGATAGGATCACCTTTTTTTATTTTTTTATTTTATTTTTTTACAAACGGGTACCCTTTTACTAACGGTACCTGAGCTTACCATACGGGTACCCGGTACACCCGTTTGACCCCTACAGTGGACACTATTAAATATATATGTAGGAGTAAAGTACTGTTTCCTGTCGCTAATCAGTAGCTTTTCCTCTACCGGCGTAGCGCGCATAAAGGCGCATATGCTTATATCCGGGCATAGGCAAACTCTCACTATGATTATAAGCTGCACATGAGCCTGCATGTATACGTGAAACACTTCACACTTTTACACATACTGGTAAGCCTCTAGAAGGAAGAAAGGTGTATAAATCTGCACTGTGCTACACCTGTAATCTATACCATATGTTGTGACTTGCATTTGGGTTCCTACTGCCCCTACATGTGCCATGGTAGCCATATCTAAAATAAAAAGACAGAGTGACTTTGCTCTGCTAACGTGTTAGCGAGCTCTATTGTGTTGTGAATGTGTGCTGCATCTTACAACAAGCCTGTCACTGTTATGATTGTGTGCAGACCACTATCCATAGCAGCCAGACTGGATTAGCAGCGCATGTGCTTATATCTCAATTTCATGTCTTGTTGCCTGCAGGAACTGCTCAAGATCATTGCCGAACAGGGACCAATTTTCTCTGAATCGGAGTACGAGTGTGCCCTTCGTCTGATGAGCAGGTCCCATACACACTTCAACGAGAAAGCACTGGCTCTGTGCCTGGAGAAACTGAAGGAAATCCTTACTGAGGCCTGTTGAGGAGCAGCAGTAGCAACCCTGTATGGAGCAACTGGAAAACTTACCTGAAGTGTTGTTGTGAAGTGTGGTGTTTCAGTTGCATGATTTCAACTATACCAGCAGAGTGAAGATGAAGAACTTATACTTTCCAGAAAAGTCAGTGGGCGCTGCTATTATCCTCATGCACTGTGCTGTAAATATGAAAGCTGACCATGCTCAGTTTGTAGACCAACTGCCATTTAAAATCCTATCTCTTTACAGTTTTCTGTACATAAACTGCAGCGCTTTAGCATATTTTCATTATTGGGCCTGAAATGCCAACAAGATTTACTCCTGCGTGTTCTTCTGCCTCTTATTGTACATTACTGACCATATGACGATCATGATTATTATAGACACCTTTTTGGAAAGATGATAGTTGCATATGAAAACAATGTACATGTACCAGTAGTAGTATAACTTTCGAGTTTTGCAGACCAGTATTGTTTTGCCTTTGGTTTCCTTGCCGTTTCACCAGTACAGTTGTAGGGGAACAATGTACAAGTACAGGACAGTTCAAAAGATTCATTCCATGCGGCACCAGTGGACCTCGTTGAAACGATACTGCTTCATTGGCTAGGCCTGTGGGAATGCCCTATTAAAAATTTAATAAATAATAATTTGAACAAACGGCGAGGAGACAACAATTTGATAACCGCAATCAGTAATACAAGCTGGATCGACATTTGTTTATTTTACATTACATGAATAAAGTGTACACAAATGTCGATCCAGCTTGTATTACTGATTGCGGTTATTAAATAATAATAATAATAATCTTCACTAGTTTGAGGGAAAGAGACAAACGGGAAAAGTCTGAAGAAAAAATTGACTGTCACCACCAGGACTCGAACCAGGGACCCTCGCTTGTAGCTAGCGATGCTCTAACCACTGAGCTATGGTGTAGTCAATAATAATAATAATAATAATAACGTTTGATAGCGGAAAGGAAGTGTCTACTGAATTGTGTGGATTTGCGTCGTTGCATGCGAATATTGATTACGAAACTGTTTTTCCACCGCCTCCAAACTACCGTTTGAATAATAATAATAATAATTGGCGTTGTGTGATGAAAGAATTGCCTGCCGCTGAATAGCTACAATATTATCTTTTTTCCACACCTTTACTTGTATTGAATTTTGTCATCAACCACCACACCATAGATGTGCTCTCCAGCCGACCTCGACACGACATTGCCATAGCACACCCCCAGCAAAGCGACACATCCTCTTTATATCTCTTGATCTGCTAAATCCTATAATTATGTAGGATTTTGGTTATATTTTTCCTGGGTGTGGCATGAAAATAGCAAAAAAAGATGTGACCAATTCTTCCTTACTAGGGCATGATCGATTGGCGAATCCCGAGCAGGTGCGCTCGGAGTGAGCGTGATTGTTTGGCCGAATCCGGAGTACTGGTAGGTGTACTTGGAGTGCAATCCGACCACACCCGCTCCCACACCGGTTGTGGCTGGAGTGGAAATGGACATGACGATTTTTGACAGCTTTCACAGAATCTTCGTGCGATATGCGTACCTTCTGCGTGCTACACCCTTGCTTTGTTCGATTGGGCCAGCGTTACTCGGACCACACCGCCTGCTCGCACTCGATCCAGATTCGCCAATCGAGGACACCCTAGGTCTTAGTAGGAGAGTTGAATAAGATTATTTTCCAAATTCTTACGTCTCAGGTTCATCTCCTTGTGCTATACTACTAAGCCACCTCATGGCACACCTGTGATGGAACTTGTTCGTCTGCACATTCACTACTTCAGTCCTCTCCATGACAGCAGCTGAACATTGATGAACTCAAAGTTCCAATTCTTGTTGAAAACGGGCATTCATGAGAAATATTATTGTCTTATGAATTATGAATTATGTCCTACGAGTATGAATTTAAAAAGTAAACATTCATGCCTCAAAAACATATATACAACTTCTATGAAAACCATTATGCCGTTATTATTGGTCCAGATACAGTATTTGCTGCTCAAAATCAATCAAACCATACATCTAAACTGATTACTACATATTGATGGGCTTTCCAAAGTAAGCACTGAGATTGGCCTCACGAAGAGCCTCGGATACCGTGGGATGAGCGTGGCACACTCGTGCAACATCCTCGCACGAGGCACCGTATTCCATGGCCAGCGCTGCCTCGTTGATCATCTCACCGGCACCAGAGCCGATGATGTGTACTCCGAGTAGACGATCAGTCTCCTTGTGACCAAGGGCCTTCACAAAACCGTCAATATCATTGTTGGTGCGTGCACGGCTGTTCGCGGAGAAGGGGAACTTGCCGACAACGTAGGGGATATTCTCCGCCTTCAGCTGCTCCTCAGTCTGGCCCACCCAGGCGACTTCAGGGTGTGTGTAGACAACTGATGGCACGCAATTGTAATCGATATGTGGCTCACCACCCTGCAGTCCTTCCACGGCGATAATACCTTCATCTTCAGCTTTGTGCGCCAGCATAGGACCTTCGATGACATCGCCAATGGCGTAGACGGACGGACACGACGTCTGGAAGCGAGAGTTGGTTGGGATGCGGCCTCGGCTGTCAAGTGTGATGCCAACGTTCTCCAGCCCTAGGTTTTGGGTGAATGGCCGTCGTCCAACACACACCAACAGCACATCACAGTCCAGTGTTTCCGTTTTGCCACCCTTGACCGTCTCAATCTGAACGGAGATGCCCCCGTCAGTCTTGGTAGCGCCAGTCACCTTTGTGTTCATGTGGAACTTCATACCCTGCTTCTTCAGAATACGCTGGAAGTTCTTGGCAACATCCATATCAATACCCTGGCCACCTACGTTGCCGAGGAACTCAACAGCAGTGACTTCAGCTCCCAAACGCTGCCATACGGAGCCCAACTCCAAGCCGATAACACCAGCACCGATGACCACCATTTTCTTGGGCACTTCTGTAAGGGAGAGGGCACCAGTCGATGAGACGATAGTCTTCTCATCGATTTCAATGCCAGGAAACGGGGTAACTTCTGACCCGGTGGCAATAAGAATATTTTTAGCTGAAACCTTCTGCTGGCCACTACCATCACTCAGGTCTACAGACACTTCATTGGGACCAGAGACGCTGCCAAAACCCTTCACATGCGTTACACCGTTCTGCTTGAACAGGTGAGCGATTCCACCAGTCAGCTGCTTCACAGCAGTGGACTTGGCTGCCATCATCTTGGGTAGATTCAGGCTGAGACCCTCGACGTCAACACCACGGCTCGCCAAATCGCCACTGTGTGCCATGTGGTAGAAGTGAGAGTTGTTCAGCAGAGCCTTGCTGGGAATGCATCCCACGTTCAGGCAAGTGCCGCCCAAGGTAGATTCCTTCTCCACGCATACCGTCTTCATGCCGAGTTGGGCAGCCTTGATTGCTGCCACATATCCGCCAGGACCACTACCGACGACGCAAACATCAGCTTCAAGGGCAGTCGACTGGTAGCGGGCCGTTAGGCCAAGCCTTTGAATTCTTTGGAAGGAAGATCGCAACATCTTTGCAAGACTGACACAGCAAAGCGAAAGAACGCATTCAACTACTCAGTCAAAGTCAAATGTTTGGTTCGTGATTTGCATTGAGTCTTGTCGGAGTGCAGTGGTCGATTGTTCATGTTCTAGAATTCTGTGTTTGAAGTCAGTTTTACAAAAATTTTGGAATGATTTGAATATGAAAATCATGAAAATGACGTGATGATATCGCCATTTTTTTGTTTCTCGATTTCAATTCATGCTTTTCTGGGAACCCGGATTGCATGCACTATCCCATGCTTTTTTGGAAAAACTGGCCGGGCGCGTGCATGCAAGACTGAGATTTTGGTTGGCGTAGTGACCAGTTGGGATCAAGTACCCTCAAGTCCAGGGAGCCCTACAGGGCTCCCTGCTCAAGTCATCAAAAATAGCGAGCTGTATAAATGCACCAACTCCCAGCCCCTTGGGGAAACCATTGTGAGAGCGAGGTGGCGGCTCTTTGGCCATGTCCTGAGACTAAACGACGATGTACCAGCACGCGTTATGATGGCAGCATACTTCGAAAACCCAAGTTCCGCTGCCACCTGGCGGGGCCGGCCACGTACCACTCTGCCACTGAGTCTGCACCAGGACCTGCAGCGTATCGGGGGGTCGCTCAAGAAAAGCGAGGAACTTACTTGAGAACCTCCATGCCATCTCCCAGTCACGACAAGACTGGAAAGACCTATGCAGCAATGTGATAAAAGCATACATCAAAGCCTAATACTGCTTCTACCTGTGGCAGCTGCATGGCCGTACGGTGTACCATAACATAACTCATTGACCAACATATTTTGTGAAAATATTATCCTGTAAAAGAATAGGAATGTAAACAATATACCTGTGAAAACACAACCTTTAATGCTACTAACACAACCTGTGACTACAATAATCATGAGATCAACCCCAAAACATGTCTTGCAGTTTACTTTCGTAGAGTTTGTAACTTTGTGTTCCTCAACACAACTTGCAGCTTTCTTCAAAAATATCCTCAACCTTGGTTCTGTCCTAGATCGTGTATACATACATTCATTGTTTCGTCTCATCATTGTGGAGCAGCTTATGCGAAGGCTAGCCAAGCTTGCTTGGCGATGCCAACGCGGAAAAGCCTACCGGTATAAGGCCGAGTAAAAAAAATTACTAGATGATCGTCCTTTTTTTTGGAAAAATCGGGGAGGGCGGGAGGATTTTATTTTTATTTTTTTACTTTTTACCCTCTCATGCACACAGTGTACACAACAACATCAAGGTTTTTTTTCTCTTTTTTTCTTTTTTTTTCTTTTTTTCTTTTTCTTTCTTCAGCAGATCGATACTGACGTTGTGATATACTAGTCGTATCAAGAGTCCATAAACTGTTTATGCACTCTTGGTAGTATGTGGTCCATATAGTAAAACTCACGATTTAAAAAATAAAATATTTCTTGGGGCGCTGACAAAAACTGGGGCGGACGGGGACGATCATCTAGCTTTTTTTTTTACTTGGCCTAATAATAATAATAATAATAATAATAATAGTGACCAGTGGTGACTGTACGCCGTCGACGTCGTCGGATCAAGACATTTGGCAGCAGGGAGTCCTACCCATTAAAGGGGAAGTATACCCTAAAATCAAATTTTCACCAGTTGTAGTCTTCGGGGTGCTGAGTCGAATGGTCTTGGTCCGAGGAAGCTGCGACGCTCCCTTCCTACTTGAATCCCAATCGAACTCGCGCACTTCCACCGAAACTGGGTGACTGCGCCCTACTAGATGGGGATTTGTATGCAAAATGTCACTAAAAGCGCCATTTCGTTCTTATAAAAGCACGGATGACCGCGATTGGCCCATGTGTTGTAGTCTTTTGGACGCTGAGTCGACTGGTTTTGGTCCGAAAAGGCTGCGACGCAGCGTTCCTCCTTTATTCCCAATCGAACATGGTTGAAGAAGCGGTCACGTGCTCCTGGTTGCCCAAATCACCAGGTCACCGCGCCAGCAGGCGACAACTTTCACACCAAGGTTCAACTCGAGTTCAACTCGAGTGACAGGACTGCACCCAAAAAAGGTCAAACAGGCTAGTAGTAAGTAGTTGTACCCTGCAGGCACGGTGACCAGGTGACTGGTGTACGCAGGAGCACGTGACCGCTTGTTCAACCATGTTCGATTGGGAATAAAGGAGGAACGCTGCATCGCAGCCTTTTCGGACCAAAACCAGTCGACTCAGCGTCCAAAAGACTACAACATATGGGCCAATGGCGCTCATCCGTGCTTTTATAAGAACGAAATGGCGCTTTTAGTGACATTTTGCATACAAATCCCCATCTAGTAGGGCGCAGTCACCCAGTTTCGGTGGAAGTGCGCGAGTTCGATTGGGAATAAAGGAGGAAGGGAGCGTCTCAGCTTCCTCGGACCAAGACCATTCGACTCAGCACCCCGAAGACTACAACTGGTGAAAATTTGATTTTAGGGTATACTTCCCCTTTAATTATCATCCAGCAGGAGAGCTCAGCTCAGTCAGGGTAGCAGAGGTAGATCTACCATATCTCCCTCTCAGACGGAAGATCGCCTGTACTGCTGTACTGTCTGAGTTTGCTGATGTGTGTGATACATCATGATTGTATTAGCAGTAGATAAACCGTGTTTTAGTTCACACATATGTACATGCTGTTGGTTTGTTTGTTTGTTTCTTCTATTTGAATTCGTTTAGAGCACAGGCAATTCTGCCTTCTCACCAGAGGAAAAACCTCCGGTTCCTGCTAAGAACGAATATAATATTATGAGAGAAGGAAATATTAAAAAGAATCATAACATGATAATTCCAAAGCACAAAGTATGTATATAATTCAAATGGGTGTGTGTATGTGTAAGCATGCAGTGAAGAACACACAGAGAAAACATGCAGTAATGTGTAGGGATGCCGAGCAAGGAAGGAGCGCGATTAACACTGGTTACAAATTACAATTTAAAATTCTGTTCAGAGCCAGTTTAAAGGCAAAAGCCGCACTGTGGAGGCGAATATCGCTGGGAAGGGCATTCCAAAGAGTGCTTCCCACAAATGTCAATGACTGACGACCGGAAGGTCCAGGAAGGAAAGGCACTTGCAGTAGCCGCTGTTCCTGTCCTCGAGTAATTCGGCGATCATCCCGGGATGCTTGGCCGGTATTAGCCATCAACTGAAAGTAGGTGCAGAAAAGAGGACTTGCAAGATCATGTAGGCAACGGAAAACAAAAAACAAAACCTTGTAGTGAAAAATGTGAGTTAGGAATCGAATAGATAAGCTCACGAGGAGGGGGGCTGCGGATGCACGGCTGGAGAATCGGAAAATTGCACGAATTCCGGATTTGCTGGATTTGATTAAACGATTCTGCAGCTGCTGTGTCAGCGACGGGAAGAATGCATTGGATGCGTACGTTAGTCGTGCTTGCACAATGCCAATGTACCAAAGTCCGAGGCTGCGGGCTCTTATGGGCAGAGATCGCCCATGGCGCCATAGCTGGCTGATGGCGACTGACGCCTTCTCCACAACACTGGAGACATGTGGCTGCCAGGATAGCTGGTCATCAATGGTACGCCAAGGTATTTGGCAATGGAGGTAACAGTTAAGGCTTGATCCTTACATTTCACGACTGGTATGTTGCCAATGAGTCCCCGAGGTTGAATTACCATGACTTGGGTTTTGCCGGTATTCAGCAGAAGCCCAGTTTCGGAGAGCCGTAGTCAAATTCTTGCAAACAGTGTCCAGATCTGAATCAGAATAATCTAGGATGATGTCGTCCGCGAACTCCTGATGAACAACAATGCAAGGTATGACGTCGGAAATGTCGCTCGTGTAAAGGACAAAGAGAAGCGGCCCAAGAACACTGCCTTGGGGCACACCTCTTGAGCATGGGACTGCATCAGAGAGAGAGCCTCACACACCTTGACGCGCTGAGAACGACCAGACAGATAGCTAGCCAACCATAACAATACTCTGCCATTGACTCCCAGGGTGAATAGTTTATCAATCAGACGTTGATGTTGGACACGGTCAAACGCTTTTGACATGTCAACCATCACAATACCCGTGTATTTACGCTCTTGTTTGGCCAACAGCCAACGGTTGGCGGCTAGAACTAACGCATCTTCGGTGGAGTGCATTTTCCTGTAGGCAAACTGACTGCTAGGTAATATGCTATGTTGCGTGAGGTATGCTGTGAGTTGCTTCTTTACAAAGAACTCCAAAATCCGGGACAGAATAGGGAGCAATGACAATGGTCTATAGTTAGTAGGGGATGTTGCATCGCCACTCTTGTTGACAGCATGAAACAAGGTGGAGGACACCGTGTTCGGAAACAGCTGACCTTTCTACAACCATCCACGGTTGGTAGAGCTAGCCCCGGTCCGTTGAGACCATCTAAACCCGGTTCTGAGTCTTCTGACCCTCTTTATGCGAGCTGAGAAAGTGACGCCATATAGGCCATGGGGAGAAGTCTATAAAAAAACTCCCCTAGAATAAAGAGGGTCAGAACCGGGTCACCCATACGGTTCAGATGGTCTCAACAGACCAGGGCTCTACCAACCGTGGATGGTTGTAGAAAGGTTACTGTTTCCGAACACGGTGTCCTCCACCTTCAAGCAAACGGCCTCATTGATCTGTATCGCTTGTATTGTATACCTGTGTTTATTGCTTACTGCTGCTTTATTGTTCCAAGTATCAGTTTAGTTTAGTTTAAACATCTCTTATTATTATTTTTCTCACCCCACACCCCTCTACAGTGTTATCGGCCCTCTTAAGAGTTGTGTTCATCACTGTTGAGGCTTCCGATGGAAAATAAAAGAATGCTACTACTACGTTGTTTCATGCTGTCGACCAACAACATCCTGATTGTACTATATGACTGCATGTAGTCACCCTATCCCCCTATCTACTGATACACTGACTGTACTTGTTTGCCTACTGTTTGATTGACAGCATGTTACAAGGTCGAGGACGCACTGACTCTGTGTTTGAAAACAGTCCTCCTTGTTGTGAAATAACATCAGGAGAGGGAGGCAGTGAGCGCAACCAAGATAACACGAGCTGAAAGTCTCAGCTGTGAAGGACGTTGGTGGATGTTCATGCATTTCGATGACGATACTGGCAAGACCATTGGACAATACGGTCAAACCACGATTCAAGGACGCAAAGCAACATTCCACACAACTTGCGTTCGGTTTTGCATGATTCTTGTTCGCATAGCTTCCCCTTTTCTTGATCTTTGCATCTTTTGAGCCACGCAAGTTGTGTGGAATGTTGCTTTGCGTCCTTGAATCGTGGTTTGACCGTATTGTCCAATGGTCTTGCCAGTATCGTCATCGACATGCGTGAACATCCGCCAACGTCCTTCACAGCTGAGACTTTCAGCTCGTGCTTGTCTTGGTTGCGCTCACCTTCCCCTCCTTACATGTATGTTATTTCTATAACTTAGAACCTTCCAAGTTGGAAGGCTGTTGGAGTGCGCATCCAAGATGTGCTATTGCTGTTAGCCAGTTAGTTGTAGAACGTCAGTACCGTCGGTCAGTGTCGTGCAATGTTATCGCATGAGCTGATTGTTTAGTAACTGGTGGTGCTAGTGGACAATAGTGCAACTTGTAGTTCCTTGGTCCTTTTTACTTTTTATAAATAATCCTTGGCTCTCCATCCGAGTTCATTATTGTTGTAATTGTAGACCTTACTAAGATCGTACAACCTCCGCGGTTGGTAGAGCCCGGTTTTTGAGCTGTATGGGGGGGGGGGGGTAGCCCTGGTTCTAACCCTCATTACACTAGGGAGTTGTTTGAGTCTTCTTGTTTTAGTACAAAACAAAAACAAGAAGACTCAAACAACTTCCTACTGTAGTACTTCTATAATGAGGGTCAGAACCAGGGCTACCCCCCCCCCCCCCCCATAGGGTTCAAATGGTCTTGCGAAAGACCGGGGCTCTGCCAACCGTGGAGGTTGTAGTAGGGAGCACTGTTTTCAAACACAGTGCGTCCTCCGCCTTGTAACATGCTGTCAGCCAAACAACATGACGTCATTGTGTTCAACCAACCAAGGCTTGTACCTTGTTTGCCTATGTAAGGTCAAACCAAGTGTCCGCATAACCCCGGACTTGGTTACTTGGTTACTTACCATGGTTACCATGGTGTACAGTCTACAGTCTACACTATAGAACTGTAGTCTTCCTGTGTAGATCTACCCACTGCCCAGTGTTATCCCTCCAAGCACAATTTCCCATTTCGCTAGCAATGGTACATTGCCGTGACCATGGTGACGGGAAGTGGGAGTTGTGCTAGGAGCTGAGAGCGAGATATAACATTATTACGTTATATCTCGCTCTCAGCTCCTAGCACAACTCCCACTTCCCGTCACAATGTACCATTGCTAGCGAAATGGGAAACTTGCGTACATGTACTAGTAGTATATCGAGTGACCAAGGGTCCTCGTCGTCTGTTCTTACCATTCAGGAGCGACAGTATGTTTGTATTCCTGGTGATGGTTTGGCCTGGAGAGCACTATTGGTGCCCTTCAGACACAATCTTCCTCACTAACCTCAGCCTACTCAAGCTCAACTGATGAGGGTGAATTCCCCGAAGCACTGACGGCAGGGAGTGGTATTTTTTTGCAGGCTTGCCGATTCAAAGGTTCGATGGACTTCTCGTGTGCTCTGGATGGCAGTCGTGAGTCAGTCGAGTGTAAAGTCAACTTGGCAAGTCGGCGGAAAAGCGCGAGCTCTGGTGTGGGAGAAGTCGAAGTCGCCGAAGTCGCTACCACTATCTCATACCACAATGTGACATTGTAGTACTTTGAAGTACAGGGAGTCAGTTCTGACACAGATGATAATTATATCTTTCACGACTCCCTACTGCAAGGTGAAGCGAGCGCCGCAGCCATCGCACTCAGCGGGGAGATGCATAGCCAGGCGAGCGCCCATACTACATTGTATCATGATCAGACGGCATTGCCCTCCTGGCGCAAAGGATGGTGAGCCAGCCGGAGGCATTATTGCCCGTCACTCTACGCGATAGGTATACATGTACCTGCTCGGCAGTCGGCATGCAGCAAGAAGGAGTCCTGCAAATCTGGGCAGACTGCATACATGTACATGTACATGATTGTATCTCCGGAAAATGTCATGACCAGGGGTACTAAAGAAACCCCGTTTTTCAAGACTCCCTATTGTAGTCATGACCATGTATACCATGTATACAATTGTAGTCTTTTGTAGATCTACCTGGGAGGGAGTCGTACAAATCCGGATTTGTACGACTCCCTCGGCCCTGGTTAAGATGTAGAAGCAGGACCCCAAGGCTATGAAGGAATTCCGCCGGTAGCCCTTGATGCTTTCAATTATATCCGGCAAAATTTGCCAGTGATTACACTACATTATGCTGGAATTATGCCAATGACGGTGCTATACTATGCTGCAGTCCAACAAAAATGGTATGGTGAACTCAGTACAGCCCTTGGCGGATTATGCTCGGTAAATTGGCAATTGCTGAAGTATGCTTTCCATTATGCTCAAATTATGTCAGTGATTATGCTACATTATGCTGGAATTATGCCAATGATGGTGCTATTGTACACTTGCACTCATATCAGTATGAAAAAGGTTTTTGGTCTCCCTCGCCGTACCCCGACTGTCTTTGTTTTGCGGCACGCTAAGTTATACTCCCTCGAATCTCGTCTCAACTTGAGGCTTTTTATTTTTGTTTTCCGCTGTATTCATAAGCTTACAAGTCCTCTTCTTTCCTCAATGTTCACACTCCAGTCGGCTGCTACTTGCACCGAGAGGCGCACTAGAGGGCAATCATTCTCTTCACTTTCTTTGCGCGCTGCTACCACTACTGGCACTAGATATGGCATGTTCTCTATTTCTTTCCTTGGCGCTGATAGGTGGAATTCTCTGCCTGTCTAGTGTCGTCAAGTTGACCATCTACCCGTTTTTGTTTCGCTCTGTAAAGAGCACTTTAATAGGTTTCCCTGTAACAAGACGGCAATGTCTGTAGGGCCTTCCCTATCAAAAGAATAAATTCTACTTCCACTGCTGACTACTATTACTACTATTCTACAACGACTCTCGCACCATGACATCACGGCTTATAAGGGGCCAACAGGTTATTTCCTGTAACATGCCTAAATATGCCTGGGGCATTAATCTTCAGCCAGCATCGTAAAGGTTATTATATGCCGACCGTCTGGTCTCAGAAGTCTTTATGCTAGGGCATAATTTTTAGACAAAATCCGAAGATGCCAGATAATCCGCCAAGGGCTATCTCAGCCTATCCGCCCGGCGCGCTTCCATACTGCACTGGTACCATAAGCATAGCTGGAATAGACGGAACCGATCGGGAGTTGAAGTTGAAGACACCACTGCAGTAGTAGTACAGTGGTCCCTCTATAATCCGGCACCATTTGTGCCACGAAAATCTGCTGGATTAGGGAGGGTGCTGGATTAACAAATCTGATTTACTGCTGCAATGTGCATGAAGAGGACATTTTGGCTACTGAAAATTGTGCTGGTTTATCGAGGGTGCTGGATTATAAAGTGCCGGATTAGAGAGGGACGACTGTAGTAGTATTGACATATCCGCGGCAAGCCGCTTAGCATGGGAGAGGATAACAAAAAATGAAAATATATTGTTGGGGAAATCCACGCTATTATCGAATATTCAACAATGACGGGTGTGGGGTTATACCAAATTCCCATAATGTGGAAGTACGTTATTATAGGTGATCTGCACTCTACAATGTGACCTGTGCGATTATATCGTTGAATGATTGCCTGTTCCGAGCCACCAAACGCAGTGTCTCCAGGTCCTTCAGACACCACTGCAGCTGTACTTATGCCATTATGGTTGATAAATATGGTGGTAAAGACACACCTGGCATCGGAGTTGCACACTCTATCATCTATGTGAAGGGAAGTATGGACAGGGACTGGGGGTCAGTGAGGGAGTCCTGACGACTCCCTGGTCGGTGGACGTCTGGACGAAGTTCGAAGGAGTCTACACGTACGGTACGGGCGCACGCATCAGGATTAGCGTACGCATTTGCCCCGTTCTCGTACTCAGTACCGTACTTTAGATACGGGATGGAGTTGTGCTCGGTTCATTCAATGCGGTCTGCTGAGGGGAGGAGAACTAAAACATTTGATGCAATTTCTTGCTTCAAGCAATTCTTTTTTTAACTGATTATTACTTTTCGCCCAAGAATGATATGGACCATAGCGCTGAAATCCAGCATAGGTGAAGCGACAGTTTTCCTCCAGCACCAGAAAACGGCCCTTGTTAATCGTGGACCTGGAGGCATAACTCGCGTTGAGCTCAGCGCCCCGAGGAACGTTCTAACGTCACAAGGTACATGTGCATAGCCAATTGCCAGGTCATTATGATCTGCACATAGGCGCTGTCCATGTTTCTTGTGGTTGAGCCGTCTTGCCGCCGTGGTGTCTCCGTTTCTCGGGCGACCGTATCCGATAGTGATGGACTTCAAGGAGGCGAAAGCAGCACTGCACTACGCCTTGTTTTGAAGTAACGTTATTTTACGTAACTCGTTGTGTCTGCTAGGTACTAGTGCTAGAACTACCAGGTGCTATGCTGCCGGAAGCCTTGCTTTCAGGTGACAGTTGCAATCGGCCAGGTACACTGTAACTGGTTGTCTGTACAGCTGTGACAGTCTGTAGCTGTGTGAGCTGAGTCAGTGAGTGGGGTTCTTTCCGTGGCCGTGGCGTGGCCGCTTTCACGTGCACAGCGCCGGGAATTCTGTCCTGTGTCTGGACCGAACAATACTTCGCACTGCACGACCCGCTCTTGCTGGGTTTGTAGCCATTGTTTGCACACTTCTCATAAAATTATTATACCGCAACAAATTCTATTCCATTGGGTCAGTTCAGTGAAAATTCCGATGAACTAGAACGATATCCCGGTAATCCTACACTGAGGGCACATGTCATCGTCGACATGTCGACATGTGTAGTCTGAATTTTGCTATCCGACGTTTCGAGTGTATGCAATGATTATGTGATAGCAACCGCTGTTCTTCTCTCTACACGTGTGCACGTCGTTGTGATGTTGTGTGGTATGCCTATGTTCAGCTACGATCACCGCGGATTGCAACAGAGCGACGGTCACTGTGAAACAGGTAGGAATGAAGCGGGGATTTCCCCGGAAGGGGTATCCTGGGGTGAATGCATTCTGAACTACTGTAAGACATGTTATTATAACGAGTCGCAAATTTAACGATTGTCCAAAATTCATAGGTTAACGAGAAGATATGTTAACGATCTTGCAGTATTCTGCCATATCCACACACAGCATATATGAAGCAGTACGGCCTCAACGGATCTTATTATAACGAAGAAATGTCATCCGTTAAAACGTTAGATTTGCTTCCTCGTTATATATACATGTCTTACAGTAACTTTCCGACATTCACTGGAAAAAAAACTTTTGTATAAGCTTTACGCACATAATCATTTTACAGATGTACGAAATCCCGAAACCGTCGATAGAATCACATAGGCCCAGTTGAGTGTTGAACATTGAGAACGTGTGCAGAGAGTCACTGAGTGTATCTGTCCATTATAATGGACCGAGCACCAAGTCACTTCATGGCACGGCGGCGCACAACTGTAGTTGCTGCAGGTGTACATGTATTACCATGGTTACAGTGTAGATAGTCGACTAGCTAGCTACAGTAGTACACCCGCTGATCCACACACATCTGCATCAAGGAGAGAGAAGCTGCCAGCTCCGGCTCCCGGCTTGCCGGGCTTGCCCTCTACTCGCTGGCGTATCATGGTTATCATCGTCAAGGTTTTCATCGTAAGCCATGGTCAAACTGATAGGACGGTTGACGTCGCTCATTGCAGAACAGATAGCGGCGAGTGTGTACGTGGGCATGCTGCCACACTCGGGCATGTGGGGAACTCGCAACAACGGGCCAGGCGTCTTTTAAAAACACGTCAGGACAACGCTCCTTTGCCGTTCATGATATCATGATATGCAACCTTTGCCGTTCATGATATCATGATATGCAACCTTTGCCGTTCATGATATCATGATATGCAACCTTTGCCGTTCATGATATCATGATATGCAACCTTTGCCGTTCATGATATCATGATATGCAACCTTTGCCGTTCATGATATCATGATATGCAACCTTTGCCGTTCATGATATCATGATATGCAACCTTTGCCGTTCATGATATCATGATATGCAACCTTTGCCGTTCATGATATCATGATATGCAACCTTTGCCGTTCATGATATGCAAACCGAGCGGCGGGCTAGTGCCGATCAGTCCTGGGGTATGCGTGACCGCCGCACCTGCTAATACGCTTCCCTACTGCAAGGTTGCTTAGGATCATGTGGCATTGTTTTCGTACTCCCGATGATTATTGCTTCGCGCGTCGTGGTAACAGATTACCCGGGAACCGGAAGTAGCATTTGGACTATTAGCATTGTGAAGTTCAGAGTATTTTCATACTTTGATACTTTCTTTTCTGCTATATTTGTTTGAATATGATGTGGAATTTTGGATATAATTATGCGCACGATTCTTTTGTGCAGATTGGTTCAATACCACTGTGGTATGCTACTCCCACATCACCTCAGTTCAACACTCTTGCGCGTGGCCAAATTGTGGTGCTACGTAACGGTGGCTCATTCAAATCAAGCGATTGGTCTCAGTCGTTCACGATTGAGGTGAGTATCTCTCCTGTGCCTCCGGTTCCTGAAATTGATTTCAAGGATTTTCCTAAGCTAGGTGTTGCAGACGTTGTTGATCTTAAGAAGCCGGTTCCACAGCAAGATAAACCGGTAGTTCTACTGAAACCTCGATATCGACAAGCTAAACCGGCAGTTCCGCAGCAAGCTAAACCGGCAGTTCCACAGCAAGCTAAACCGGCAGTTCCGCAGCAAGCTAAACCGGCAGCTCCACTGCAGGCTAAACCGGCAGTTCCACAGCAGGCTAAACCGGCAGTTCCACAGCAAGCTAAACCGGCAGTTCCATGGCAAGCTAAACCGGAAGTTCCACTGGAAGTTAGACTGGCAGCTCTACTGCAAGATAAACCGGCAGTTCCACAGCAGGCTAAACCGGCAGTTCCACAGCAGGCTAAACCGGCAGTTCCACAGCAGGCTAAACGGGCAGTTCCACAGCAGGCTAAACCGGCAGTTCCACAGCAGGCTAAGCCGGCAGTTCCACAGCAGGCTAAGCCGGCAGTTCCACAGCAGGCTAAACCGGCAGTTCCACAGCATGCTAAACCGGCAGTTCCACAGCAGGCTAAACCGGCAGTTCCACAGCAGGCTAAGCCGGCAGTTCCACAGCAGGCTAAGCCGGCAGTTCCACAGCAGGCTAAACCGGCAGTTCCACAGCAGGCTAAACCGGCAGGTCCACAGCAAGCTAAACCGGCAATCCCTAAAGCAGTTCCAAAGGGAGTTCAACCAGCAGTTCCAGCAGCAGCAGCAGTTCAAGCAGTGCCACCGGCAGCAATACGAGGACCACCGAATGTCTTCCCTAATTGGCGTGATATGCTACAGGTGCTTGTCTACAACTCTAGCTTAGTCAGGGCAAGTTCAAAGGTAAGTTTCAATTCAAGTGCATTGATTGGTAGCAGCAGCAGCAGGTTTTCATGGCATTTAATTACTGACCCTATGCACTTGTGAAGAGCACCAGTTTGAGTTTGGTTTACATGCTCATAAAGCGTGCTAGCGGGCCGCTCACATAACGCTCACATAACGCTCACATAACGCGAGTCAGCCTCAATTTTAGTACATTAACTACCTGGCAAAGTCAACCAATCCCAGCCTGAACTTGAGACTAGTTAATTGTCAACAAGCTGTTTTGATGTACCGTGTTTGCAGGTGGCTTCCTTTGACCTGGACTATACCTTGATTAAAACAAAGTCTGGAAAAGTTCTCGGAATAGACAGCAGCGACTGGGAGTGGTGGCAAGCTAGTGTTCCACAGAAGCTCGCTCAGTTACATCAGAACGGATATAAGGTAGGCAGCAGCAGGCCCCAAGCAAGCTCCGGGGGGGGGGGGGGGGGGGGGGGAGGGAGAGGACTGGTGGTACAGCTCAGGGTCGGCTACATGGCCCATCACTAGACATTACCCTAAGCCCAACAATGATTTCAGTATCACAGGAGAGCGTATCTCTAGCTCCATGCACCATGTCATCTTTTTTTTTATTAAGCTACCTGCTAGTAACATCCATGGACATCCATCAAGCACAATAGTTCCCACTGCATGGTCGGGAACTGTGCGGCTCATGAAGGATAGGTCATCTTTAGGTCGTCTTTAGGTCGTCTTCTTGTAAGGAGTGTTAGAGGATGGGCTACTAGTGCTCGCCGCACGCTATTCTATTCTATTCTATTCTATTCTATTGGCACTACTGCTTAGTGAAATCCGGTCACGCGAGTCCGCTTACGCCCTGCATCAGTGCATGCGCAACCCCGGTGCTCGCAGATCTGCGGCTGCACAGCACCCAGGCCAGCGTGACTGATTGACTTGCATGATCAGATTTCAGTGAAAAACAAAACACTGTGGTTAGTTGCACGCTGGACGTTCCATGAGCGCTGGACTTAACAACAACACAATAAAAAGGTGGTGTTATGTTCCATGAACTTGGATAGAATGACTCAACGCACATAAGGAAAGTGCCTTATGTATGGCCATGGCCGTGCCCTCTGTACCAGTGCCGCCGGCCCTGGGTGGCCCGACCCCACACTGGACGCAGACTCATTGCGGCTATATAAGCATTCATACCTATGGTTTGAGCTTCACAGTCAAGGAACCCGATCGTAAAATGACACAAACGCCTGCCGTCTACCCTTGCGAGGGAAGGCTTCGACACTGTGAGGTGGTGTGTTGAGAATACGGTGTACAGTGGAAGTCACTTGGTACATACCTAGTACCTGGGTAAGACGTTCACCATGTTCACCTTGCTTGGTGCCGTGGGTCCTTTATCAACATACAGATCAGTTTCCTACCAGTGCCCAGTGCCATGTACATGGCAGTGTGTGTGTGTGGTTAGTCATGGCAGATTATGCTCCAAAATTGGCACATTCTCCTTAATAAAAAAACAAGGCCATCGGATCTGGGCTAGCCCAGTGTCTTCAGTTCAGTGTCTTGCGTCATTATGTGACGTCATTGTGACGTGATTGGCTCCGATAATCCGATTGCCACCTTATAATAAAATGACATCATATTATGTCATCTGCTTCGACAAAAGTCAGTAATAGTCACTGAGTAGAAGAAATTTGCACTCCATATTCACTACATACTCTTCTTTTCGTGTTCTCTGCTCTGCAGATTCTGATCTTCACCAATCAGGTATGTGACGCTGTGTACCTAGAGTGGTGATTCGTGGCATTGAGTATGCCATCATACATACATGCACGTGCACATGCGCATGAACAAACTCGTACTTATACTCCTGCCCACTCGCTGAAGCGATGATAGCGAGCAAGCTTCATGTATGTTAGCAAGAGTACATAACCAGATAACCCCCAAAGACCAGAGTGCGCAAGTTCACTTTAAAATATCAGATCTGGGACGGCGAAATCCCTGTTCCACGTCATAATAATGACATCATGAGTAGGGGAAGTGTGGACGTGGTACACCGCGTCGATGGAATGAGGCAAGTCCGACCCAAAAAATGACGTGCATCACGGATTACGCCGTCCCACAACCCCATTCCAGTTGCGCACTCTGGGGGTTATGTAATCTTGATGTTTGACATAGCAACTTGTGCTGGGATTATACCATTCAACAGCTTGCAAGGCTGATGAATTGACCGCCACTAATTTTAGCCTGATCTACACCACACGGCTGGTTGAAGTGGCTTTTTCTGGCCAATGAATCCCTACTTTTATTTTTATTTTTCATTTTTTTTACACACGCCACACCACATACTCTGACATACACTGGCTGCTGGTAACCAGTTACTAACCACCTAGGAGAAAGAAAAATAGCTAGGAGAATGAGAAAGAGAAGAAAGACGTGTGCGACCACCATCGTTGGGAATTGAACCCACAACATCTCGATTGGAAATCGACTGCACGTACCACTGCACCATATGGGACACACACTGAACGCACACACGCACACACTCACACACACACTCACACCCACACATGCGCGCGCGCGCACACACACACACACACACACACACACACACACACACACAGTGTACTGTACTTGTTGCTCAGTGCCAAAACTAGTCACGTGAGTACCCCCCCCCCCCCCCCCCCCCGGGAGAGGGGAGAGAGACTCACACACACACACACACACACACACACACACACACACACACACACACACACACACACACACACACACACACGCACACACACACACATGTATGCACACGGTGCACGCTCACACATACACACACACACAAGCACACACATACATACACACGCACGAACACACGCATGAGCATACGCACGAACACACACACACACACACACAAACACACAAAAACTCTCACACACACACACATACACACACATGTGCACCCACACACACACACGGAGTGGATACGCATTTATCAGGCCATTTGCTTCTTTCCATGTGCTGCTTCCACAACGTAGCATGCTATCACCATGCTATCATCAACCCCCGAGCCATACCACAGGTGTCCATTACCTGGCCAACAGATCATCTCTAAGATGTGGAAGTGTCCAAATTTTTTCCTTTATCGGTTTGATGCAGGGATATATCCGGGACTTTGCTGACAAGAAAAAAATGTTCAAGAGTAAGGTTCATCAAATTGATCGCGCACTACAGCTGTATAAGGTCCCATTCCAGGTATGTTTGGCAAGGAGTTCAACCCTGTCGTTTTCTTTTGCCGTTCCTTTTCTCATAGCATTTGCCTTTTTCACTTTCCACACCCATAATACTTGTTTTGTCATGCTGCTATGTTGAGATGTTGAAAGTATTGCCGCTCAACAGGTTGGGACATTGCTACTGGTTGGGACATTGCTACTGGGTGGGACATTGCTACTGGGTGGGACATTGCTACTGGGTGGGACATTGCTACTGGGTGGGGCATTGCTACTGGGTGGGACATTGCTACTGGGTGAGGCATTGCTACTGGGTGGGACATTGCTACTGGGTGGGACATTGCTACTGGGTGGGACATTGCTACTGGGTGGGACATTGCTACTGGGTAGGGCATTGCTACTGGGTGGGACATTGCTACTGTGTGGGACATTGCTACTAGGTGGGACATTGCTACTGGGTGGGGCATTGCTACTGGGTGGGGCATTGCTACTGGGTGGGGCATTGCTACTGGGTGGGACATTGCTACTGGGTGGGACATTGCTACTGGGTGGGACATTGCTACTGGGTGGGACATTGCTACTGGGTGGCACATTGCTACTGTGTGGGGCATTGCTACTGGGTGGGACATTGCTACTGGGTAGGGCATTGCTACTGGGTGGGGCATTGCTACTGGGTGGTACATTGCTACTGGGTGGGACATTGCTACTGGGTGGGACATTGCTACTGGGTGGGACATTGCTACTGGGTTGTACATTGCTACTGGGTGGGACATTGCTACTGGGTGGGACATTGCTACTGGGTTGTACATTGCTACTGGGTGGGACATTGCTACTGGGTGGGACATTGCTACTAGGTGGGACATTGCTACTGGGTGGGGCATTGCTACTGGGTGGGGCATTGCTACTGGGTGGGGCATTGCTACTGGGTGGGACATTGCTACTGGCAGTGTCTGTTCTAGAGGCGGGTAAGCTGGGTCAACGACCCGGTTGGGGGTGGGCTACTGGGACCCATTTTGGAAAAAGAGCACCGGGTCATTTGTGGCCCGGTTGGGAGTATAGACCTTATTCGATAATATGATTTTTGGACTCGCCTCCAGGGATTTGTCGTAAGTTAGGGCACGCGTACGTGAAACGAGTGGCAAGAAGGGCCTAGTTCGTACAAGGGAGTAGGAAAATACTGGCATTTTTCTACTCCCATGTTCGCACGCAAAGTCCGCTGTGCACTGATGATGCAGGCCTCTTGCCTCTCCCTGGTTCCCGGGACTCCGGCTCACGTGATTGTGACGTTTATCGAATAAGGTCTATACATGTCGAGTACTTTTTGTACTTCAAGGGAGTACAAACTGACAGGCTACAGGTGCGTGCAGATGTGCGCTGGCAGAGTGTATGGACAGTATCCACTGTTCACACATGGAACATGTACCCGCAGTGGACACACTTGAAAGTAACCGGCTCTGACCCGGTCGCAAGAGTCATGCCCAGTGCATGTGTATATCTACTAGTACCCGGTTGGTTTCGGAAACCCTAGAACAGACACAGTACTGGGTGCGGCATTACTTAGGGATGTGTGTGCAATATTTTTGGAATGCGCTGTTCTTGCTGTCGTACGAGAGCTTTCGTGTCTTCTGCTCACAAGACAACCCACATGCTGCTTCCTGTGTCTCTACTGATGTCACTTCAGCTGATATGTTCCACCCACTGGGAAGGTTACCGCAAGCCAAGGACAGGAATGTTGGAGCACTTCCTCAAGAAAGAGAACTCCGGCATACAAGTGACGGAAATGTGTTATGTTGGTGGTAAGTCTCTCCTGCCTTGGTTCACTCTGTGCATGCCACTTACAGTATACAGTGTACCAATTGCCCCTGTACGAGTATTCACGTTATGTGCGAATGATGATGTCATGTGCGAATGATGATGTCATGTGCGAATGATGATGTCATGTGCGAATGATGATGTCATGGCGGTGAGTCATCACCGTTTATGGGCGATATGTACATGTGTACATCGTGAGTCGGAGCTTTCTTGTTTTTGTGTGAGCTAGTGCATCGCTAGCGCGCCGTGGCGCAACTTTGACAAAGCATCTCAATTCTCAACTGATGATGTAATCACATGCCCTCTATAGCTCTGCGGTGCAAGTTATATTTTTCTTCTCAAGCCTCATCCGGCCCAGCCCCTTACAAACACACAGGCATGCTGGCCATTGCTTCGAAGAGTGGATTGATATTTTTCAACTCCATGAGGAAGGGAGAAGGCCTTGGGCCGATTTACCGTGGATAACGGTTATGAAATGAATGCTTGTGATTTCTGGCCTTCCCATCTGCAGACCCCCCCCCCCCCCCACACACACACACGCACCCCTCACATCACGCATCTCGCTAAATCGTGCAATTGCTGCTATTGCTACTATTGCTGCTGCTGTTGATGCTGCCGCTACTGCTGCTGCTGCTGCTGCTGCTGCTGCTGCTGCTGCTGTTGTTGTTGTTGTTGTTGTTGTTGCTGCTGCTGCTGCTGCTGCTGTTGCTGCTGCTGTTGCTGGTGTTGTTGCTGCTGTTGTTGTTGCTGTGTGGTGCATTAGATCAAGCTGGCAGACTGAAAAACTGGGCTCCTGGCAAGGAAGAAGACCATTCTTCCGCTGACAGAGAGGTAAACCTTTATAATTTATAAATCATTATAATAGTTTATAGAAAAGAAAAAAAGACAAAGGAACTACAAGGAACTACAAGTTACGCTATAATGTCCACTAACACCACCAGTTACTGAACAATCAGCTCATGCAATAACATTGCATGGCACTGACCGACGGTACTGACGTTCTACAACTAACTGGCTAACAGCTCTAGCACATCTTGGATGCACACTCCAACAGCCTTCCAACTTGGACGGTTCTAAGTTATAGAAATAACATAAGGAGGGGAAGGTCCATCCGAGTCCATTCATTATAATAGTCTTTGATTATTCTTTAGAAAAGATTGTTTGATCTTGTTCACGTGGAGGGAAGACACGTTTGTATTTGGAACCTATGAATGTGACCTCTTCAACCTTCATTCTCACGCACGAAATGTCTTTGGTAGCTAATGATCCTCCGCGAAAATGCACAGAGTCAAAGTCACTCAAGCTGCCCGTTGAACAGAACTGTTTATATCCTGTATGCCAGTACTGAACAGTGCAGCACAGGAAAATGAGGTTGCACCAGGTCACAGCAATGAAATATATACCTCTGACGGCCAGAATTTAAAGCAAAATGCGAGACTCTTGTTTCTAAAGTTTTCTTTCCGGTAATTTTCCATGTGTAATAAGATGTAAAGATAGTGATGGGCAAGGCCGATACAGGTGTACCATTGAACTTTTGCACTGCAAAGCATGTAGCATGAACTTCTCAAGGTACACGGTGTGGTGTCTGTGAAGACCGCCCTTTTCATACCTGGCAAGGTGTACTTTTGCCATACACCACTGTCTAAGGGATTTCTTTTCTTTCTCGACGATATCGCACACAAGAAGTCTTGAGGCTTCTTGCATTTTCAATGTTCTGTAGAAAATACTTGGCTGGACACAAATGCAAATGCAAACCATTTCCAATAAGTATCAACAGCCGTGTACACTTTGTGGGTATTTTGTAAATCAGTATTTGAATTCGGAATAAACAAGTGGCCTCTGCTCGTACATTTTGACGGCTGAATCATCCAGTCGAAGGCACTTCATAAACGCCGCGTCCTGAAGTCGATACTTCAAGTACATGTGTGACTTCACCATATCACGGCAGCCACACGCAGCGCACAGGCACACTTTCTCTAAATTAGACTCCGCCTGGAACGCTTGCAGACCATCAGCTAACAAGGTTGCAGAAACTGGTGCTGGAACAATCGATGCCAGTTCTTCCCTCACAGAAGCATCAGGTACTGCGTGGAACGGCCCACGGCCATGACCCGAAGCAGCATAGAAGGAAAGCAGGGCTATGGCAACGTTGTCCTCCCTGCAAGATTGCAATAGAAGGCTATGCCGCTGGCGCTCTTCATGCGTCAAAGACGACACCATCGAGTGGTTCTTTTCCTCTACCGTAGACCGCATAACAGTTAGCAGCGTCCGACGTTTCACGGGACCTCCGGCAACTCTGCCAATCACGTTTGTTTTGGAGGCGACGGGATGTGTCTTCCGACGTTTCCTGTGACCGGCGCTGACACTGCCGATCACGGGCGTTCTGCAGTCGACGGGGTGTCTCTTCCGTCGTTTCCTGTGACCGGCGCTGACTCGCCCGTTCACGCTTATTTTGGAGACGAAGGGATCTCTCTTCCGACGTCTCCTGTGACCGGTGATGACTATTCACATCACGTTTTCTTTGGAGCCGCCTGGATGCCTGCTCAGCGGTATTTTGCTGCAGACGCATCCTATCACGAAGTCGGCGATTCTCCAACCGACGGGATCTTTGCTACGTTGTTTCATGGGTAAAACTGGAGTTTAGGTACTTGTGTATCTACTGAAAAAAGATGAGCTACTTCTGGACAGCCGGGCATCATATATTTTAACACAAGTAACATTTTGGAAATGAAAGCGGAACTGAAAATAGATGTGGTCAAGCGGATAGCCCAGGGCAGGATTGTCGAATGCAATGCACCATACGTCGAATGCAATGTACCATGCATTCGAAATACAGATCTTGGTGCTCCTTGAACCGCTCACGCCACATGAATTCCACCAAATATGTGGGAAAGAAGGTGTCGGATGGTCCGAACAGGCGTTTCAGCTGCCGCTTCGCTCTCATCCACATATTCTCCACGTTGTTGGTATGGACATCGCGGTCATTGGGGTTCACGAAGTTAGCTTCATGAATCACATCATGCTGAAAGATGCCTCCATGTACATGTATCATCAAGATATTGGCATATGCAGCCCATCCATCCGACATGATCTGTGTTCCGGGGAGTAGCCACGGAGCTGTTAGGGCAGTCAGTGTTGCTGCTGTGCGACCCGGAACAACTTGCATGGTGCGAGCTCCGGTGTCCCTTTCGATTGCACCAAGGACCCAGTGGCCTTCCCTCCATTGACCGCGATGATACTTCTGGTGAAAGTATTTCGACTCATCAATTTCCACCACCCGAGGCTTCCCTTCATCATCGAAGCCTCCGAAATGGTATGGGTTATTGGTGAGGTACTCAGCTGCCACGTCTCGAAGAAAATTATACCAGTCAAGCAGCGGCTTCTCCGTCACCTTGTAACACCTGAGAATTTCCTTCTGCGGCTCTTGCTTGGCCCAGAAGATGGTCTTCATCAATAAATCAAGAGGCAAATGGCTCCGTTGGAAGAATGAGCCAACATGAATGCTTTTGACGTAGCTATCACTTTGGCATCGCCAACGATATCCATCAATGCCTCCATTATGCACCGAAAAGGTACCGCGTTGATTGCATGTTGGACACACATGAACGTTAGCAACCAAGCCATAACATGCCACTAGCTCTATTCCACGCCACTGACAGAACTCGATAACGATGCTGTCAAGGAATATCATCCTCTCGAGCATACCGTTGTAATCCAATACCTCCTCAGGTGGAATAATAAACTTACGGGGAGCGGCCATTTTCTATACTGCAGCGAAACGTTGAAATGTTTCAGTTTTGCGGTTAATCGAGAGAAACATATGAGAAATAATTGAAACCACTTAGTGGTGTAAAACCTCCCTATACTATAGTGCAGAAAGTAGTGGCAGTCAGCAGTGACCTCCCACTCTGCACGTAACGTGCACCGGTGTATTCTACATTAGCAGGAGTTGTGGTCGCCAATGACAGACATATTCATGCTTTTTCTCCGTTTTCATGTTGATCCGTTGTTTTGCATTGTTTTCATTTTATAGTTCGCCAAGAACATGGGGGTTCCCTTCTACACACCAGAGGAATTCTTCTTTGGCGAAAAGCCTACAGCTAAGTGGAATTGGAAGAAGGATACTAACGTGAGTCAATGCATACAAGCCATGGCCCGCTCACCCTTCTCTGTCTGTCTCTGTCTGTCTGTCTGTCTCTGTCTGTCTGTCTGTCTGTCTGTCTGTCTGTCTGTCTGTCTGTCTGTCTGTCTGTCTGTCTGTCTGTCTGTCTGTCTGTCTGTCTGTCTGTCTCTCTGTCTGTCTGTCTGTCTCTCTGTCTCTCTCAGTCTCTCTCTGTCTCTGTTTCTCGAAACCCACCACCCATGCAAGGGAATTCTAATACAGTAAAACCTGGTGTAAGCAACCTCTGGGTTTAGCGACCACCTGCTCCGAGGCTTAACGACCGTTTTTCCATGCACCGATCGTTCTACACAGACACTGCACGGTGGGACCTGATTCTAAAGACCACCTGGCTTTAACGACCGCTTTCACTTGCACCGTGGGGTGGTCGCTTAAACCAGTTTTTACTGTACATGGAAATGGCATGAAATTGACTTGCTTTTAGATCAAGCTAAAAATCCTGCATGTTGCATAGTTTAGTTAGAATATGGGGTGCAGAGCCAAGTCCAGAAACTGACTTACACTTACGCTATATTTAAAATTTTAAACACAGTCATGGCTACGACTCATTTGTTGATCTGGGCGTGTAATACACTGTCCCTGCGGGAATTTGCGGAAAAAACTCTCAAAACTTGCGCAAGAAATTGCGGCAGAAAGTGACAAAAAATGCGACGAAAAGTGCGGAATGATGCAGAACTTGCCAGGAATTCGCGGAATTATTTGCAGAAAATTGCGGATTTAGGCCAAATCACGAAATTTGTTGCATCGTATATCTACTCGGGAGTCGTACTGTGTAAATAACCTACAGGATCATGGAAAGAACTGTGTGAAAAGTGCCAAAAATGTGAGATATAGTGCAGAAAACAACAAAAAACGCGGGAAATCGCGGATTTTGCTGAAAATCGCGGGTTTGGGCCAAAATCGCGAAATTTGTTGCATCCGTGGAATCGCGATTTCCTGGAGGGACAGAATACAGGGTGCAAAGCGCCTTTCTAGACACTGTACTGGTTGGGGTTGGTTTGCATGAGCAGGCTGTACTGGCCAGTTCAATGTCTGAACCATGTGTCCGTGGTGAGTAGTGCCATTCTGCGAGACAATGCGAGCATTTTTTACATATGTAATGTGTTGTTGGTACGTGTTTGGATAACTAGAATATCCGGGTGCCAGTACCGGTAATTAGAAGTCTTTCGCCGGCATTTTGAGGTTCAATTTAGTGGGATTCCACCTGTACCAATTCATGTGGCGATAATGCTCAGCACTTGCTGGTACAGCAATCTCTTCTATTCTTAAAATTTCAGAGATGTCATGCTTTTCCTATCTGATGTCATGCTTGTGCTATCTTTGTTGTGACAGAAACCCAAGTGAGCATGAAAAGTCTACGACAAAACAAATGCATCCTTGCGTTTGCGGCCTGGTATAAACAATCTGAGTAGAGACTCATCGACATCTACGTCTTTGAACAAAGTGGAAAATGGACAGCGCTGTTGGAAACATCTTGGCAAGATGTCAAGAGGAATCAGTGTGGAGTTCGGCGTTTCTTTCAGGACTAAAGTATTCTGTGGGAAATGTTTGTTTCGAAACTGATTTTAAAGTGATTTTATGCCATGCTACCTCACTGGATTATTCCATTGGTGTTGCACGTTGGACTGAAAATAAAATAAATAATAAATCAGCTCTGAACTTCACATTAAAAATCATTTGTCCGCTGTGACTGTTTGCGAATATAACTAAAGTGCAATTTCAGAGCTTTGCCCAAAAGCATGTGACACCGACGACCGTTGTATTTGGTTTCGCAAATGGTTTTTTTGCTCGCTTTTGATTTCTACCATTACTGTTCAAAGTGGCACTACAGCGCACAGAAGCAGCAAGCTGTTTACGAGCATTGTAGCTAAGAGCGTACCACCCAGAGGGTACCACGGCACCTGATCATGTCGTGTCACAAAGTCGATGTCATCCTGTTTCTCATGTCATCAGCATTGATGATGTACAATGCCTGGCGAACCCAAGACTGTTGGCAAGTGTGCTCTAAGTCAACGAAGTGGCTGCTCCTATGAATAGGCCTTAGCTGAGCGCATAGTAACAAAGCAAGGATCCACAATTTGTTTGCATGGTAGGGTATGATTTGGACGATTTCAGCCAATCAGCGGCCGTTCTGAGCAGGGTAGTATATCCAGCGATATACGCCTGGTAGTATATACCGGTATCCAGAGCGATATACCCCTCTCAGTTCATGTGGGTAACGCCATGAGTAAATATGGGGGGGGGGGACAGACAGTGAGTGTGTGGTATGTGGTGTGTGTGTGTGCGTGTGCGTGTGTGTGTGTGTGTGAGAGAGAGAGAGAGAGAGAGAGAGAGAGAGAGAGAGAGAGTAGCATCATGTTTTGCAGAGTACACGTACACCTATTCATGTCTTTCCGCTTGCTGGGTAGTGGACCTACTTTCGAGGGACACTTAATTCAACAATGCCCTCTTCCTATCCGATGTTCAGCCATCACAGTTTGAACGGATTTCATTGGCACGGAAATAATCGCTCGCAAGATTGTATAAGATTATACAGTGCATTCGACTTGTAGGTGTTTTCAAAGCTAACACTAGTGCTTGACTGTAGTGTGTGTGTGTGTGTGCGTCATGTGACATGTGCGTTGTGAACGGTTCAGATCATGTAAACATTGTTGCATTGGTTGATTCTGGCAGAAACCAATAATAGTTTTTTTCTCTAATTGTCAGGTATCAAGTTTGACGGCTCTTTGGCCTGGCTACGAGGCAAGTTCAAGTGCAGGTTGTGTGTGAGAACATGCTCACTCTACATTCTTTCTTCACGAAAGAAGAAGGCGATATGAACTGGATCAGGTACTTGCTGCAAGCTTTGCTGCAATGGCCGCATCTTCTTTCTCATGCAGATCTTGAGCACTTTCAGACGCAGGTGTCGGCGGTTCAATATTGGAAAGATGACCGAGCACCGTGGAAATTAGCCTGTCGACCTCCGTCGTAGTCAGTTCCTCTCGACGATTACCTGGGCTGACATTCATGGTGAAGTCCGGTCCGAACTTGGCAAAGTTGCCGTGCTCGGGGATATCGTCGTGGCAACGCATGCCGACTAGGCTGGCGGTGATCTGCGTCCAGCATCGCGCCGTGTTGGCCAGGTTGTAGCCGCCGCCTCCCAGCACGAGCAGCGGTATTTGCCAGGCGGTGAGCTGCTCCACGCAAGCGCACAGTGACGCCGGCGTCAGGTTGAATGCGCCCAGCGGGTCACCGGCCAAGCAGTCGGCACCACACTGGCACACGACGGCGTCCGGTCTGAAGCGATCGTGCACTTCCGCCATGACGCGCGAGAAGACGCGTAGGAACGTGCCGTCCCGTGTGCCATCGCCCAGCGGTATGTTGAGACAGTGGAATCTTCCTTTTCCAGATCCACAGTCCCCAGTCGCACCCGTTCCGGGAAAGAAGCCCGGGCAGTAGCGATGAAATGACACCGTCATGACATCGGCCGAATGACTGAATGCACCTTCTACACCATCGCCATGATGTACGTCCAGGTCTATATACAGTATACGCCGAAAGCCAGCATCGCGCAACCGCAGTATTGCCAGGACTATGTCGTTGACGTAGCAGAAACCGGACGCCTGGTCTCGGTGACAATGGTGCCAGCCACCCTCCCAATGGCAAGCTACGCTGCACGCTTCTGAACACAGTGCAGAAACAGCTGCCAATGTGCCACCCGCAACCGCTTCCACATACTCATACACACCATCGAATACGGGACAATCGTAGCCAAAACCAAACATCTCATCCCTCTCAGCGTCGTCATCTTCCTCGCAACTCTTGTCTTCCTGCAAAGATTCAACGTAAAGACTGGAGTGGAACTCGCACAGCTCGCTTCTACTAGCACGTTCTGGACTTATCAACGCCAAGCTTCTGTTGATGCCGTATGCCTGGATTAGCCCGTGTACCAGCTTGCATCTGCCTTGGATTCGTGGCATCGTATCACAAGTTTTCATGTGGGCCTCTGAGTAAACCAGCCCGACGGTACGAGGTTTCCTGTCATCACGCCCTGCATCGCTTGCGCTGCTGGACATCTTATGCGAAACGAAGTGCGAATTAAACGGCTAGCACAACGACGTCGACTTTCCTTGCTCAAAGAAGAAAGCAAAAGAGCTTTGTAAAAGCCAGTGCAGTGCAGTGTTCATGTAGCCAAGAAACCATGAACGTTCAAACATTCAATTTTTTGTAACTCCCGCTATTTTGATTTTACCTTTTTTAGGGAAGATTCGCGATTTTGGCTTGACGAGATCTGCTGCATGAAAACAAAGCAGGGATCGGGAGTTGTCTATTTTACATATTCAGGTACATGTTGTAAAGTAAGGACTAAGGTCCACAGCTATTGTGCTCTTGGTACCAGGGAGTAGTACAATTATTGTACTACTCCCTGCTTGGTACTAGGCCTTGGGCAGCTGGACATTGGATTTTCCAACAAAAAATGAAATCCAGTGTGCTGTTGTACAAGAGTATCCATTGGATGATTATGGTGAGCGTTGAGGTACATTGTCAGCGTGCAAGTATCACCAAGTACAGTAGAGAGCACGATAAGCCTCATGGTGTTCACCAGGCGCACTGGCATACAGTACCGTGCACTCTCTTCGAGTTGTGGCTTTACTTGACGCAGTAAGTCTCAGCAAGGCTGCAGTCAGGCAAGCCGAATAAATTGACTCTGAAATGATGGCCTCCAGTTAAAAAGGATACATACAAAACACAAAAGGAACGCCATGAAACAACACACATGAAAAATTAATGTGATAGGAATAACATATTCATAAGTTGGAGGTAAGTTTCCAAAAAATCAACAGAGAAAAGATAATAATGACATCTGTTCCTGTAAGATGTTTGACTCATGTTACAACCTAGCAATGCACAAAGAAAAGGATCAAATTGAACAACCCCTTTATCACAACGAGTACCTGCACTGTATTGTGCATTGTGTTGTGATGGAGGAAATTTACTTGTATGATGTGACATGATCGCGTACCTCTCAAGGAGACAATATTGGAAATATGTTTTTTTTAAAGACTCGTGCAAAACTGTTACTTGAAGTATATCAATCTTCTTTTTCTGCTGCTGGTATCTAGATTTTTTTATATGCACGACGCATTACGGCGTCGAGGTATTTCATGAACGTGGTCGAAAAGTTGTAGATGAGAAAGCGACTTGAACAAGCAAGTCACTCTAGACTCTAGGGTCATGAGCCAGGCATGCCTGCTGGCTTGGCTTCTAGGTGTTTCTCACGCTGCCTTTGCCGCTCCAGGGCATCAGCATTTGCAATCTCTTGCTTCTGCTTGGCCTCTTGTAACTTGACGGCACGCTGCTTGAGACGGCGCACACGATCACAGATAGAATGCATCTCGCGGCCGATGGATTGCAGCTTTGAGCGGTAGATGGGAGCATCATTGAAGACCTAGCAGGAAAAAACCCGAAACGGAACAGTAACCATCACATGCTATGGTGCAGAAGCCAACATAATGACACTGCTGTGAACAGTCACAGGTCAATCGTCATTGGTCACATGACACGTCACATACTATGAGATTGGTTTATACAAAGGGAGGGCGAATTCATGTGAGTTGTCATGTAACCATGGAACTGTAGTGAATCTCTGCTCACATCCATGCATACCAGTTCAGCATGCAGAAAGGATCCCATCAAAGAATGCAAACAAGTCAAATCACAGCTACAGGAAAAGTTGAAAAACACCTGCTATAACTCCTTCCACATGCAGTATACTTTTAACACGATGAGAGAGCTGGGGGATGCTACAAATACCTAAAGCCTAGTAGATATGCTGTCAACAACCACTTTATTGGTGACTTCAGTCAATGTTTACAGTTCACAAGCCATACATTGCATTGCACATGTGCAAAATACTGTATAGCAGGAAATTTTCGGACGGAATTTATTTTCGTACGATTTCGTACACAGCCTCTTTTGTACTAAAATTAATTCCGTTCTAAATTTTGTGCCTGTGAAGTTATGTACACTATACATGCGAACACGTGCATTTAGCATGCAGCACTGTACGAAAATAAAATCCGTACGAAAGGTCGAAAATCGGCTTTGTCCGAAAATATTTCGGTCCGAAAATTTCCTGCTATACAGTACTCCAGAGCTTCCTGCATGCCCTGTGACGTGTACTCCAGAGCTTCCTGCATGCCCTGTGACGTGTAATGTTGGAAATACAGTACTGTACAGGCAGAAAATTTCGTCGGTCAATAATTTCGTCCAACTCCAAAGAAAGGGAGTTCGTCCGGTTGTAAATTCCGTCCATGGATCATAAGAGTGTATTGAAAAGTTGGACAAATCGACATTACCGTATTTCCCCGTAAGTTAGTTCTCCCCAATGACTTTAATAGTACCCCCCTATAAAAAATACACTTTCTACTGCCGAGGTTATCACCCCGAAAGACAGTTCCCCCGAAAGATAGTAAGTTCGTACCCGTCCTACATGTACAGACACCGTACAGTACATACATCATATGCACGGACACTAGAGTTGCGCAGGCTTCCCACTGCGTGTCATTTACCCCCGATAAAAAAGTACTCCCCGAAAGATAGTACCACCCCCGAAAGTTAGTACTCATGCGGCTGCTAAGTTCGAAAGTTAGTACGTACTAACTTACGGGGAAATACGGTAGTCCAGCATTTAATTTAGCCCAAAAGCTCCATGGACGAAAAAGATCAAAATAAATTCCAGGTGAGTATCTCTGCTTTTACAGTATGCGATCACAGCCATCCATCTCCCCAAGTCAGCAACCGATAACCTAGTCCCACGGGCACGCATGGAAGTTGGGAAAAGACAGTAAATGTGATAGGCTGATAGCACAGTGACTAGTGTCGTTACCCTGTCGATGCTCAAATGTCAAGAGTGCTGCAGGGCTGCGGAATGTATTTACTGTGACACTGCAATAGCATGGCTAACATTCAGCCCCACCCCGCGTGGATTCTGGGCTTCTGTACCCACTAATACTTCGCCATAAATGCCCACAAACGTTCATTCGTAAAGCAAAATAGACCCAGAAAATACATGTACATGATTGTACATGTCTTGTGCAGGTACAGTACTGGTCATGTGACAAACCACCAGGAACCCCAGATACCTGATGACTTTGCTAATGACTCTCAGATCGCACTACGAGCTGCAATGGACTTCCCTCTTACCCGAGGTATGTATCGCTAGGTGACAATGTACGTAATGATATCGGTAATATTCGTATTATATACAGCACATGCAATCTAGTTGTGCTGCCATGAACTTCTATTATTTATTTTAAGTTTTTAAATATATTTAATTTTTTTAAAATCTTTGTGCCGTGATCCTATCAATTATTGTTTCCACAATATACTGGTATACGACTGTAGTACATTGTATACATGTAGGAGCTACAGAACATTACATGGCGAATTTCTCACTCACAGCAACTATATCTTGAAGTTCAGGACGAACAGTGTAGCTTTCTCGGGCCTCTTGTATCATGTTGATCAGTAATTCCTGATCACGAAGAAGCTCCTGAACTCGAACACTCGACTTTTGGATATCTGGTTCGAGTATGCCCATCATTCCACTGGCCAACTGATCAATCGTGTCACTGGGTACAGCCACTACACTGGCTACATGTATTGCCTGCTCATCCTCTTCTCCTGTACCTGACGTCTTTTCCAGCGGCTCGGCTACCGGAACGTCCGAAGCCATAGTCTACGCCAAAACTAGATCTTAGAAGAGAAACTTTCCTCCGTGAACAACAAGCAAGCTGAGAGTACAGTACAGGATGAGTCACTCGACGTCGGACACGAAACTCAAATCAAGTCTGAAAGCAAAATACAGCCATGCACACCATGTACTGACATGACTGATACAGCAGAGAAAATGTGTGTTGACATGGCACAGCACACAAAAATCTCGTACTTCAACCCGAGCGTCCTTGACAACACGGTAGCGTCTGCAGCAACAGCATCTCCCTACATGTGGCCCTCGCGACTCGCTACGTAGTGACGTAACGTCGTTGCATGTCTCAGTCACACCACGTGCCCGTTCGCTATTTTCCAGAATAGTGGACTGAATGACAGAAATGATTGTAGCTTGAATGGATTCTGTCGTATTTGTATGGCCCTACATGTAGGCCCTGCACCCGGGTACTAGTATACCCCTGGCCTGTAACATGTACCAGTATGTAGTGCTGGCTGGAATAAATCCGTCGAACCGACACAGTACCAAACTTGCTCGTATACAAAGTCTGCATGCAATAGTCCGGACAGCACGAGTACAGCACTTGGTCTAGGCGAGTGCACCACCGTGTATGCACCTTTCAGCAACTGGCCGCAACTCATGTCTCGTGAGAAATCCCCACATCTACAAAAGGTGAGGATAGCTGATCCGCATTGGGAGCTGCGACTTGCCAGTGATGGAAAGCCTAAATGTCCGCAGTGGAGTTCAGATCCCACAATGTGGCAAGTATGCCACACGCAATGTGGCAAGTATGCCATCACGCAATGTGGCAAGTATGCCATCACGCAATGTGGCAAGTATGCCATCATGCAATGTGGCAAGTATGCCATCACGCAATGTGGCAAGTATGCCATCACACACTTCACCAAGGCCAGCTGGCTATACAGTGCTGCTTTAAGTAACACTGTAGCTCATTAAAGGGGAAGTTAAGGCAAAAATTAAAATTTCACCAGTTGTAGTCTTCGGGGTGCTGAGTCGAATGGTCTTGGTCCGAGGAAGCTGAGACGCTCCCTTCCTACTTGAATCCCAATCGAACTCGCGCACTTCCACCGAAACTGGGTGACTGCGCCCTACTAGATGGGGATTTGTATGCAAAATGTCACTAAAAGCGCCATTTCGTTCTTATAAAAGCACGGATGACCGCGATTGGCCCATATGTTGTAGTCTTTTGGACGCTGAGTCGACTGGTTTTGGTCCGAAAAGGCTGCGATGCAGCGTTCCTCCTTTATTCCCAATCGAACATGGTTGAACAAGTGGTCACGTGCTCCTGGGTGCCCAAATCACCTGGTCACCACGCCAGCAGGTGACAACTTTCACACCAAGGTTCAACTCGAGTTCAACTCGAGTGACAGGACTGCACCCAAAAAATGTCAAACAGGCTAGTAAGTTGTACCCTGCAGGCACGGTGACCAGGTGACTGGCGTACGCGGGAGCACGTGACCGCTTGTTCAACCATGTTCGATTGGGAATAAAGACGGAACGCTGCATCGCAGCCTTTTCGGACCAAAACCAGTCGACTCAGCGTCCAAAAGACTACAACATATGGGCCAATCGCGGTCATCCGTGCTTTTATAAGAACGAAATGGCGCTTTTAGTGACATTTTGCATACAAATCCCCATCTAGTAGGGCGCAGTCACCCAGTTTCGGTGGAAGTGCGCGAGTTCGATTGGGATTCAAGTAGGAAGGGAGCGTCTCAGCTTCCTCGGACCACGACCATTCGACTCAGCACCCCGAAGACTACAACTGGTGAAATTTTAATTTTTGCCTTAACTTCCCCTTTAATGCAATCTCGCGACCGCCGCTATTATAACTAAACATTAGCGCGCTGTACAGCCCCCCCCCCCCCCGACCTGCGAACGCTCACCTCCCCACCCCCACCCCATCCTGTGCACCAGGTCATGCAGCAAGCCAATGCATGTATGAGATCGGATTTCATTGAGCTTAAGTTAGCTGGGTTGAACTTGAAAACATTGATTCGCTTGGTTGCAAATCTCCGGAGTATGTCCACAGCACGGTACTTCACACCGACCAGCAAACCGAGTAGACAGACTCAAAGTACTTTAGCGGACATTGAAATCCGTTGAGAAGTCAAGCGGCCATGGGGAGTTGGCCTTGCACTGAGCTGTGAGCACTGCTGGTTCATTTTCACAGTGTGCACGTACGCTCTAAAAGCAGTAAGGGCGCCAGCCCCGGTCATCCCATCGGATTTCAATGTCCGAGACAGTACCAGTAGTGATGTATGTAAGTGTGTGTGTACATGGTGTGTGTGTGTGTGCGTGCGCGCATGCGCGTGTGTGTGTGCGCGCGCGCGTGCGCACATGTGTGTATGTGTGTGTGTGTGTTTTGTGTCTGTCCGTGTGTGTGTGTGTGTGTGTGTGTGTGTGTGTGTGTGTGTGTGACGGTGTGTCGCTTCTGACCATCGTGTGCAGGATGCTTTATGCACGGTGATTGGCTCAAGTGGCTGTCTGGGTCGCGAGCTGGTAGCGGAGTTGCTCAAGCGTGGCTACCGTGTGAATGGCTTTGACACACGGGAGCCCGTCATTCAGGATGACCGAGTGCAGTACTTCACTGGAAGCCTCACAGAGCGAAAGGTAGAGGCAACAGAGAAAGCACACTTGATTGTGTGTCGGGGGGGGGGGGGGGGGGGGGCATGTGTACACGTCAATCAGCCTACATTGTCCGCTGATCAGCAAGAGAGTTGCTAGTGCATGCATTGTGTGCTGACACAACTGTGAACTGCATTGTGTCACTCATACAGTCCGCCAACACTTCCCAACATCACTGTTCCGTGCGTGTGTGCACGTATGTGTGTGTGTGTGTGTGTGTGTGTGTGTGTGTGTGTGTGTGTGTGTGTGTGTGTGTGTGCAGGATCTACTGCCGGCACTAAAGGATGTGGATGTTGTATTCCAGACGGCATCTCCTCAATATTTCACGAAGAACAAGTAGGTCTTGCGGAGAGCCGATGTTCTCCTCCTTGTCACTCTCGACGGCACACTAGTAGTTGTATTGGTATGGTTGGTGGCAGGTGGGCCAATGTGCAATGGGGCGCTGCAAGATAGGCCAGATGTACATGTAGTGCAGTGTATGCATGATTGAGGCACACGCAGTCTGGACGGGGGATTCAGGGATCGGACTTCACCTGGAACCTCTGTGTATCAGTGGGTGGGGCATACCCTTGATAGCGGCGCAGGTCCTGAACCCTATTTTGACTAGCAAGCAAGGAGGTACATGAACATGTAGCAGAATGACATGTCCTTACTGCTCAGTGCTTACACAATCACTTTACACTTGTTTTTGTTTGCACTTGGGGCTAAACTTGTGGTAGAATGCCGTTGTGTGCCATGTGGGTAATTGCATTTGTGCAGCCTATCAGGCTTTATTTTTCTATTTTCAACCTTAGCAATGATATGTAAAAGTACCGTGATAAAGTCAATGGGGGTGTATGAATGAATGTCTTCGATTCCCACGGTATGGTGTGACGCTCAGTGCCAACAGCATCTCTTGCTCTTCTTACTACTGCAATCTCCATGCTGAGTCTACGCTGTGTTTTACTACGGATATGACGTGGTACATTGTTGTGCACTCTTCAACGGCCTCATGTCACGTTACTGCACACTATTGCGCTACGCTGTATACGTTGCAGGTCTATGTTTCATAAAGTCAACGTCGAGGGTGCCCACAATGTTATACAGTGCTGTATCGATGCCAATGTACCGGTGAGTTATTAGAGTTCACTGTTAAAATGCACACCGTGATTCTGTCTGCATTCAACATCTTCTGGAGCGAATGAATTTATTCTCTGCCGGGAGTATTTAAAAGGCTGCACCGAGTCTGCACTGGACAGCAGTAAATTGGCATGTGTCTTTGGTAGAATGTGGTGTGACCATGGGCAATTTGCCTGGCAGGGAGCTAGCTACCATTGGCCTGGTCTACACACCAGAAATCCTCTGTGTGACCACAGTAGTACTAGTAGGCTCACTCTATTGAGTGGGACTGTACTGACTTGTCAAAGTATACGTACTCTACACCGTGTTTGCCGCTCAGCCTGGTACATGCAAGCTATACATCATGGGCCGCACTGTTTCTGATGCCTCTGATCTGGGAGGGGCGCTATAATAGTATATATCCCTGCATGAATGCACGCGGAAAAGTCACTGAGCTCCCTGAAGCCGTGAGCTTGATTCTATTTTTTTACGACGTTAATCCTGCTGCTGGCATCTATGATCTTCTTGCGCAAGTTCAACTGTGCAAGATATGTGCAAAGTAATGGACAGAATGAACATGGTAGCTATACTAGCTAAGCATGGTAACTAAGTTGTTTTTCAGGCCGGGGGGGGGGGGGAGGGAAGGTTCCCCCGCTACAAATACATTCTCCCTGTTGAGCACCATTGCATGATCCGCCAGAACAGTGTATCATGTAGTGTACCATTTGCTGCTGTTGTTGCCCAGCGTCTTGTTGCTACAAGCAGTGGCATTGTTGTATTTGATGGCAAGGATAACTGTGGTAAGACGGAGGATGAACTACCATATGGCACATTCCAAGACGCCTATCAGCAATCAAAGATTGAAATGGAGAAGGTAAAATGTGATTGAACTGGCAATCTCGAATTGCCAGTTTCTAATGTGTTCTCTCGCAACTATGGCACACAATATGGCAGATTCATTCAGGGCCCAAGGGTGTGAAACTCAATGTCCAACCCAGGCTTGCAATGTGTATTTCCACCGCAACACTGCCGGCTGCACTATGTTGTTGCTTTGGCTACCTGGATGCCTAGTCTGCCTGTCACGGTTGCATGGTCCTCATGATATGCGCACCCTCTTGTTGTTGTTGTTGTTGTATTCCTGGTTACAGGCCGTGATAGCTGCCAATGGACTACCGCTATCGAACGGCGCAGGCAAGCTTCTCACGGTTGCCATGCGACCGCAGGCTATCTTTGGCCCCGGTGACAGTGCTATTGTGCCAGGCCTGCAGGTCTTCAAGAACTGGTCTGCAGTGTTCGGGTAAGCCATGCCACCCGCCGAACCACCGTGATCGACATGTGCAGTGCTGCTAGCTGCTGCTCAGTGAAATCCGATCGCGTGACTCGGGTCAAGTTTGCTCCCTGCCATGACCTGTTCCACCATCCAGTGTTCGTAGGCCTGTAGGGCTGCACAGAGCCCGGAATTGTGGCATTGAGTTGCCCGGTGATGGGATTTCATTGAGCAGCACTGGATATGCATACCAGGCTACATGCAAGTACTTGTGAGCATGTTTGTGGAGCAGATTTTGTGTACGTATGTCACAGTGCTTGAAGTACAGAAACTCAGCTCTACAAGTGCGCCATGCTCTGGTGAGCATGGTAAGTGAGGAACAAGCAAAATCCGCATATCAAAACAATGTACCAGCGCTCTGAAGAACATGTCATGTATCACTTAATAAATTTCAGGGGAATTGTATCACCGTCCTCTGCAAGTACTGGCCACGGTCAAACAGCATGCCACTCAACCTTCAAACGATAGGGCTAGTTCCGTCGGAATTGTTTCCATCTTTTTTTTTCATTTTGCTTACTTGCTTCAGGCCTGGCACTAATACCATCGACTACACGTACACAACCAACGTGGCACATGGACACATTCTAGCAGCAGAGAAGCTATTTCTAGGAAGTCCAGTATGCGGCGAGGCGTTCAACATCAGCAACGACGACCCCATCAACTGGGCCGAGTTTACTGACAAGGTGCTCTTTGCACTCGGTTATCAGCCAGCACTCCGGCTGAACTTCATCCCGGTCATTGTGTTCACGGTCATCGCGCACATCCTGCTCTTCATCCAATCCCTGTTTCAGAGCATCGGCGTCTACTACAATGTACCCATCACGCCGATGGCCGTAATGATGTCCGTGAAGACCCAGTCGCACAGTATCGACAAGGCCAAGAGACTGCTGGGTTACAGGCCACTTGTTAGTATGACGGAGGGCATACAGCGACTAACACAGTTCTACCAGGAGCAGCGTCGACGTCCGAAGAAAGTTCAATGACAATGATGCCAAAGGAAAGTTTAGTCCCGGGGCGGATTCAGGGGTTCCGCGGAACCCCCTAAATTTTGCAAATGTACCACTGGAAACCGTATGTATGGACACTTACATGTATCAATTATTCAGTTTGGGCTAAACTGGACCCCCCCCCCCCCCCCCCCCCCCCCGTAGAGACCTCTGGATCCGCCGGCCCCAGTAGTCGGTGTCAGTCACTACACTTCTACCTATGTGTACCACTTGAGTATTCAATTGCTTGTTGTAACAGCTGACATGTTCTTGTAATTTATTCACATCCGATTAGAGTCCTTATCGAAAGTGTTCCCAGTTCTGCTTTAGCGAGTAAGAACAATGACTTGTGAAGTTGTATGTCCTGAACAATGCCGTATTGCTCTGCTCCCATCAAGAAGCATGCCAGGGATGTTTATGCTTTGAAATCATTAGTTCAAAGTACCTAAGTTATCACTCCATTGCTACAATGCTAAGGCTACGTGACTTTTCACATATTTTATCATCTATCTCCCTCAAACTTCTGGATAATAATTATATTATTTTTAGAATCACTTCAGTATGAAGTAAACAATAGATCCTTGTGTACTGGCTTTCACCTCCTGAAGGTGCTCTGTACTTGTAAGCAGCAGTACCGTCGTTGCGCCCATAGCAGAGTGGCAAATTTTGATCGCATCATGTTCATGCAAATTACTGTGGGCATACACTGTATGCGGAGCATTCAGGCCAGACAAATCCCACACCAAGAATAAACTGTACCGCTGCGCTCAAGTGCGCAGAGTGATGTGTGTGTGTGTGTGTGCGCGTGTGTGTGTGTGTGTGTGTGTGTGTGTGTGTGTGTGTCTGTCTGTGTGTGTGTGTGTGTGTGTGTGTGTGTGTGTGTGTGTGTGTGTGTGTGTCCCATATGGTGCAGTGGTATGTGCAGCGATTTCCAATCGATAGGTTGCGGGTTCGATTCCCGACGATTATGGTCACACACGTCTTTCTTCTCTTTCTCAGACTCCTCCTGACTTTTCTTTCATTCTCCTGGGTGGTTACCAACAGCCAGTGCATGCCGGAGTATGTGGTGTGATGTGTGTGTGAAAAAAAATGAAAAAGACCAAAAAGTAGGGATTCACTGGCCAGAAAAAGCCACTTCATAGCTGTGTGGTGTAGACCAGGCTGAATAGTGGCGGTCAATTCTTCAGCCTTGCAAGCTGTTGAATGGTGCAATCCCAGCACAAGCTGCTATGGCTTCTGCTGTAGCATCGCCATCATCGCCTCCGGCGATGGGCGTCCAATGGTCCAATGGTGTGTGTGTGTGGTACATGGTGTGTGTGGTGATGCTAGGGTCGCATAGCCGACCTCATGAATATAATAGCGGTGGGGGGGGGGGGGGGGGGCAGCCTCTCTCCCCCCCCCCACCGCTATTATATTCATGAGGTGGGATTTCTCTGGCCAGGACTGTACTTCCGCAATGAGTATGTGATGTACTAAAGTACTACTATAGGAGCTTTTGAGGTACCCGCTTTGCTATCATCGCTTCAGCGATGGGTAGGTGTGAGTGTAAGTGCGTGTGTGTGTGTGTGTGTGTGTGTGTGTGTGTGTGTGTGTGTGTGTGTGTGTGTGTGTGTGTGTGTGTGTGTGTGTGTGTGTGTGTGTGTGTGTGTGTGTGTGTGTGTGTGTGTGTGTGTGCGTGCGTGTAAAGCTGAGTAACGTTACCGGTACATCGCGTACATATCGAACTCTAATGATTTTGACTATTACTAGTATTAGTATTAGTAACTATTACATTCACAGTACAACTGGCATGCACCGACATGACATGACATAATCTGGAAAAGGTGTCCGATTTCGGATCCGTCACTGCAGTCTGCACTCTGCAGTAGACTCTTTACGACTCCCTACTGATCATGTGACCATGGTGATACGCTCTAGACTCAGTGTGGTATCAGTCGCCAAGGAACTAGCGCTTGTAGTTGAAACGAAAATACGGTCATCATGGTCATGACTTGTGTCGTAGAGCTGTATCATGCTCATATTCATAATGATCTGAGGAAGGAAGACGAGTTTTTTGTGACATTGCCGCAGCGGTGCTCGCTCTCTGGTGTGCATCGTTTCGTAAGCATAACAAAGTAGGCTGAATGGTGAAATAGCCCCTAGACTCCGTACATGTACTATGCCTCCAACAAATAATTGAGAAAAGCAACCAGTGTCTTGACGCTGTGGGCCTGGGCTTAGCCGCTGACCCGGTGAATCAGTCAAGTATTTCTTTCTGTGAAGTTCCGGAAGGTTCAAGTCAAATAGCGCTCGAACAGCCCTTTCGTCATTCCTTGATAATGAGACGAGGAAGGAAAGCTGCCGGTGGACCTCGCCAACCAACCGGTACAGACAGTAGAATTATGTACTGCGACCTGTACGATGTGTTCATTCAGTGATGATAACACTATTCAATTATGAAACTGGCCATGGGTGGAACAGACCTAGAAATGAATAAACCGACTGCTTGTAAACTACACCACTATACTAGTTAGCGGTACACAGCGCTAGCTTAGCATGCAAATAGGGAAGGCCCCTGCACAACAATGACTGTATCATTACAGCCAACGCCACAGTGCCACTACTTGTGACGATGGTCGTCCATTTTCTTCAGATTTTCTCATTTACCGGTATAATGTATCCCTAGCGATTCAGAACTGCTATTGACATTGTCATTAGGCCATCCAGAATTAATTCGTTGTTTCGGGTCACCCGACCGACCGTCTTTTTTCACCCGACCACAAAATGTTTTTTTTTATAGTGGATGCAAATGTACAGACTAGACTATGTACACACGAGACCCTAATAATAGCAGTCCAGATATCGCCCTCAGAAGCAGTCATCAATGGTCATGGCTAGCCAAATGACAGGTGCTTGGTGATGACGTTGTCTTCTATCTCCGATCCGCAATCGGTCCTGAAACAGCATCAGCTCCGCCACCTTGTCGCTATTTACAGAAGTTTTCAAGGTGAGAGCTGCTCGTCAGACTCGTTTGCCAGCGAGGCCAAGATCTGGTCCTGGAGGGGACCTGGATCTGATGGGACCATGACTGCGCTGGATTGTCTACACTACAGTCAGATTTGATCGACTGGCTAGATGGACAAAAGCTATTCGATGTACATGTATGCACATGGACGTAACCAAAATAAAAAATAAAATAAAATAAAAAATAAACCCGACCGACCGACCCTGGTACGGATGAGTGAAGTGACCCGAAACAACGAATTAATTCTAGGTGGCCTTAGTCATTACTGACACTGTGCTATGAAGCAAAGCAGGGGCAGAATGAGGGGGTTAGAGAATGACAAAGGCTAGGCACTGGATCTAGCTCCGAGCACTCCCGCCAGCTTCCACCCAGCCAGGGAGTGTCTTTATGTGCACACCGAGTTAGAGGTAGAGTGTGCATTGCACATGTCGGTGCCACCCAATGTGTACAGTCAACTTTGCGAATAACGACATTCGGCAGGGCATCAGAAAAGTGTCCTTATTCGCGAAGTGTCCTTATACCCGAAGTCCCATTTGAATGTATGTGAACCCATATTTTGTATAGTATGATATGCATATCAAAATGAAGCTCTTTTCATGCTCTATGCCAATGTATACTTTATTTTCATATTACAATTGAAAGGAACTATACAGTCAATATGGAAGGGAAATAGATTGAAAAATTAGCCTTTGGAGTCATGTACATGTATATGTACATGTATGATGTGTATTTTACCTTTCGTGGCATCCCTATTTTTTCACGTCTACATGACTTCATCTTGCCCGTAAAAGAGACCGTTACCCCGCAAAAAAATACAGTCATGTATGATGATTACTGTACATGTACAACTACATGTACATGTACATGTAGCTGTGCTGATCACTCCAACTGCATGTATTCAGAAGCAAAATAAAAAAATAAAATAAATAAAAGCACCCCCCCCCCCCCCCCCCCTTGCCTGCATCTTCTTGCATGTGTGCCTTTATCCATCTCCATGGGTTCTGGTACTTCTGCATGACAGGTACGAGCGTACTTGAAATAGCTGTCAAAAGCCCAGAAAGTCGTTATTCAAGCAGTGAATAAGACCTCGGGGCACTAAAAGCATGTCGTTATTCGCGAATTGTCGTTATTCAGATAGTCGTATCCGAAGTTAAATGCATACAGTTAGATGGGACTTTGCTCTGGTCATGGAAATTCTGTCGTTATTGGCGAATTGTCGTTATGTCCGCAGTCGTTATTGGCGAAGTTGACTGTACCTTCTTATTTTAGGTGTGTTCTGAAAGGAGCATGGATTGTAAGCAATCAGCAATTAAGTCTTGTACCGGCGTACATACTAAACCTACGATAGGCAGGTCACAGTCCTGTGTGCATGGCAGATGTACTGTAGGTGGTGACAGGTATATGTATATTATGCACTGCTTTATCCATAGCTGGGCCAGCATCAGATGGTTCAACAACGCTCTCGGGCATCGGAGAGGAAAAAGCACCGCCTGCTGGAAAGCCGGGGGCGGCATCTACACAGCCTGATGGAGACAGTGTGAGTACATGTATGAAATTCACAATAGTGTACTCTCTGTACTTCCACTGCACACTGTCCTTGGTAAACATTTTGACTTATTGCGAGTGCGGGGTATTCACATGATGCCTGATGGATTATGAGAACGCACTGAAATGAATGGTGCAGGTGGTTGTAGTTTTCAGCACAACTTCATGCATATGCATTCGCACTGACCAGTAACTGTGGGTGCCATAATCATGCAAAGCATTAGAGCACCCCTGATGATGTATGGCTTGAACCGGCAAATCACACGTATTCTCACAAACCATACAGGCCCGCCGGAACCGGTCCGGTTGGTCAGGTTAACACCGGACCAACTTTGTAGCTACCAACGCATGTTTGCTGCTGACTCAGGGACGGCACATGTCCCTGCCGCATCATACACAAAGTATGAAAGACTATGGTACAACCGGACCAATTGAAAACTGCTTCCGGCGGTCCTGACGGAACACGAGTACGTTACGTAACAATGGTTACCATGGCAGCCAACATCATTGACCATGCTTCGTGTGCTGAAGTCACTGTAAGCGCCCATCGGTTCTGTTATCTGCTTTTTGAGCGCCTTTGACAACAATGGTTTATGCGTGCGTGTGTGATGCGTGCATGGATCATGTTGTCAATCTGTTGTTGTCAAATGTCACCAGGAGTCTGCGGCGGAGAAGAGCGTGCTGGATGTGCTAGCTGAGGGAGTGCACAACAGTTGGGCGTTGCTACATACAGCTGTTATTGAGGTGAGTACAGGTACCGGTACTGTGTGCTACTGGCCAGTTGAAGTACTGGGTAGCCAGCACTTTGGCTGTGATGAGGCTAGTGTGTGTGCGTGTGTGTGTGTGGGGGGGGGGGGGGGTCAATTTATGGTGTCCATGAAACTTGATCCCTTTTCAGTACCTGTATTGATGGTATTTGTAATGGTGGACTATATTCCATGATCTCCAAGCTGTTTTCTGTATTTGCCTCTTCCTCTCCCAGTTCCTCGCTTGCAAGGATGAAATCCTGAAGGTAAGCAATACACAACCAAAATTGGACGTGAATTATATCATCATGAATGCATGTGGATTTTTCAGTAGAATGCTGGATATCACTGAAAATGTCGATTCCTTTGTTATTAGGTACTTTATCTGGTTTCGGAATACAACCTGGTCGTTTTCACAACCATGCATTAGCTATGCCGGGTGGTAGAAGAAAAACGGAGAGAACGTCCGGCATCGATCGTACATACGTGCTCTGTCATTTATAGTGTCATCTACGTGTTCATGTATCACGCTTTTTTTAGTTTGACACTGGCACATTACGTGTTTCTACAATATAGGCCGAGGGTTAATCCAATATGTACTCCATGTATGCATGTGCATGGGCATTAGCACTTTTGAGTGGTGGCACTCACAACACTGACATCCTTATGATAATGTGTTTATTCTGTACGTGTAGTAGGGTGGCAGCACAGTGGCAGCACAGTGTCTTGAGCAAGTTGCTTTATTCACATAAACATTATACCAGTATCTTAAAGTGTTATGTTGTTGTTGTTGTGTGTATGCATGCATGTGTGTGTGTGTGTGTGTGTGTGTGTGTGTGTGTGTGTGTGTGTGTGTGTGAGTGTGTGTGTGTGTGTGTGTGTGTGTGTGTGTGTGTGTGTGTGTGTGTGCATACGCACACGCACGTACATGTGTGCATGCGTTTATGCGTCTGTGTTAACGTGTATACATGTACATCAGCACGCGCTTCCTCCGGCACTTCTCCTCAGGATTGTGGTGTCAACTAGCAAAATTTTCCGCCTGTAAGTGCTTTGGCAAAAGTACATGTACATGCATGTGCAATTGTGCATGCATGCGGGTGCATGGGGATCATCGTTTGGTGATAACCGGTGTTTTGTTACGTTTTGTTATGGTCTAGTAGCAGGCCTGGGAAGCAGGGCTGAGAAGCAGGGCTGTGAAACTATGTGCTGTGAAGGGGGGCTTTGGAGCAGGGCTGTGAAGCTGAGGGCTGTGAAGCTGAGGGCTGTGAAGCAGAGCTACGCAGGGCTGGGCTGCGAAGCAAGGCTGCAAAGCAGGGCTGTGTAGCGGGGCTGTGAAGCACGGCTGTGAAGCATGGTTGTGAAGCAGGGCTGTGAAGCAGGGCTGTGAAGCAGGGCTGTGAAGCAGGGCCGTGAAGCAGGGCCGTGAAGCAGTCACAGTGCTGTGAAGCAGTGCTGTGCTGTGAAGCAGTACTTTGAAGCAGGGCTATGGTGCAAGGCAGTGGTGAAGGGCAGCGTGAGTCGGAAGCAGGGCTGTGAAGCAGGGCTGTGAAGCTGAGGGCTGTGAAGCTGAGGGCTGTGAAGCACAGCTACGCAGGGCTGGGCTGCGAAGCAAGGCTGCGAAGCAGGGCTGTGTAGCGGGGCTGTGAAGCACGGCTGTGAAGCATGGTTGTGAAGCATGGTTGTGAAGCAGGGCTGTGAAGCAGGGCTGTGAAGCAGGGCTGTGAAGCAGGGCCGTGAAGCAGGGCCGTGAAGCAGTCACAGTGCTGTGAAGCAGTGCTGTGCTGTGAAGCAGTACTTTGAAGCAGGGCTATGGTGCAAGGCAGTGGTGAAGGGCAGCGTGAGTCGGAAGCAGGGCTGTGAAGCAGGGCTGTGAAGCTGAGGGCTGTGAAGCTGAGGGCTGTGAAGCTGAGGGCTGTGAAGCACAGCTACGCAGGGCTGGGCTGCGAAGCAAGGCTGCGAAGCAGGGCTGTGTAGCGGGGCTGTGAAGCACGGCTGTGAAGCATGGCTGTGAAGCAGGGCTGTGAAGCAGGGCTGTGAAGCAGGGCCGTGAAGCAGGGCCGTGAAGCAGTCACAGTGCTGTGAAGCAGTGCTGTGCTGTGAAGCAGTACTTTGAAGCAGGGCTATGGTGCAAGGCAGTGGTGAAGGGCAGCGTGAGTCTGAAGCAGGGCTGTGAAGCAGGGCTGTGAAGCAGGGCTGTGAAGCAGGGCTGTGAAGCAGGGCTGTGAAGCAGGGCTGTGAAGCAGGGTTGTGAAGCAGGGATGTGAAGCCCGGCTGTGAAGCCCGGCGGTGAAGCAGAACTGTAAAGTAGGGCTGTGATACATGTCCTGCTTTCAATACACATTTTGAGGCTTTCCTCTTGCCCAGTAGCAGCACAACTAAGTTGTGCCAGCAGCAATGATGCCGTGACTGTGACGTGTATGATGGAACTGAGCATAGTGCTTGCTGGTGTGACTTTAGCAGATTTGGTGACAAGTACTCTTCTGCACGTCTGAAGTAATCACTCCAGCACCTATAATGAAAGAGTGCCGGAGAAAAATCACTTCCTTCAACTGTTCATCCCTTCCTAATCACAGCTCTTTTTTGTGTTGCTTCCTTTACTATTTGGAACGGATGTAATCCTATTGGAGCATCCATCCAGTCTGGTCATTTTCTATGGCACCATGGGTTATCCCTTCTGAGTAGGCCCTAGCCGTAACGTTATTCTCCTTGTTGAATAACGGTTGTGTTATTTAAAGGTGCCAAGCATTCGTAGTAATACCAAGTCTTGTCGGTTTAGCGGGCAGGATGGAGAACAATACGGGCAGGATGGAGAACAATACGGGCAGGATGGAGAACAATACGGGCAGGATGGAGAACAATACGGGCAGGATGGAGAACAATACGGGCAGGATGGAGAACAATACGGGCAGGATGGAGGACATCGTGTCAAGGTGTTTCCTGCTCTACGAACTGTTATTTGTTGGCAGCATTAAAATAGTTGTCACGGTGAAGGTCTTGTGGACATGCGGGTCTATCTCAGGTTGCAATGCAAGCGCATTCTGTGTTTCCTGGTATTATCTGCTACTTGTTTTCAGGTTTAGTGATGCCAATACGCCAATGCTGGAGTTGCTGCGTTTGGTCAAGCTCTATTCGGCTGATTGGGAGAAGCAGAGTGCAGCACTGAAGAAGCTACATGCAGACAATGAAAGGTCAGCACATGTATCAGGCGCATGTTCCGTATGGGTTCCTGGGTGCCCGGAACCCCTCCTTTTTTGCTCAAAATGCAGGATTTTGCTTCATTTTTTGAAAATTTTCCCAGGGGAGGCCCCCAACCCCCCCCCCCCCCATTGAAGGGCACCGGCGCACACGCCCGTGTATTATCGGACTGCTGCACTCAGCACAAGTATTACATATCACCCCCAATCTCTGCATCTATGCAGGGGCTTCACACACCGCACGACCAGTACGACCATGGTCGTACCACTTTTTATCCAGGATACATCGATGGTCTGCACAATTCATCCAAGAGAGCGCTAAAAACGTGCTTTGTTGGCCGGAAAATCCGATTTTTTGGCCTGCGGGACGCCCCAGACCCCAGACCCCCGGTCGTGCCCGCGCTGCCCTGTGACGCCCCTGCTAAGTTTGATCAGTCTCTGCGCAGGGTCACGTTTGCTCTCAAGCCGTTGAAACAAACTGTCTGCTACTTTGACAGGATTGGAGCGTTTTGTTTTGTTTCGTTTTTAAACATTTTCAAATGTTTGTGTCTTCCACGGCTTCTAGCAAACAGCGTCAGTTGAACATTGCACTGCGACGCATTGAAATGACCGCGATGGAACAGCAGAGAATGGCAAAGGAGCGGCGTGTCATGAACTGGGAGCGACTATTTGCCAAGTTACACGTATGTTTTAGTGCGTGTGCACGAATACATGTTCACTGCGTGTCTCACTGTGATGTGTTTCAACACTGTCTTGCAGACATGTACATGATTGTACAGGTAGATGATTATGGTTACACACCTTTTGTAGGAGTCCTATTAATTCCATTTGAATTCAGCAAAGTCTAGTTATCTCCACCACACCGTGAACTAACTAGCACATGGCCTACTATTGTTCTCTCTCTCTCCCCCCCCCCCCCCCCCCCACACACACACACACTGCAGAATCGACAGAGTCATGGTCGACGATGGAAGTTTCTCATGCAGTCCTTCAAGGACAAACTGCGGGATGGGTAAGTGACCAGATTACACTGCTGTTTTATTTTGTACACAGACTAACTAGTCACCTGGCGGATTGCTTCCACTAAATTTTACGGATAGTCCTAGCTAGTAGTAGGCATGAATAACGGGAATTTTTTTAAAGTAGGGAAAAGGCAGGGGTGGGCCTGGCATCATGTTATCAATATCTACATGGCTAGGTTGAAGCATGTTGTGAGCTCATGCAGGCAGGGAAATACCAAGTCAAGATTAAAATGGCAGGAACGTGCAAGCTCCCGTATCGAGCCACCTATATCCTTGCCTAAAGTAGGCATGTATATTGCTACTAAAATAAACCGCACTTGAATCACACATATCACCATTATTGGTGACCTTGCCATTTAAAAACCCAATAAAACAGCTATTAGAACCTGATGATTGTTATACTTCTGGTCTATGTTTTGTGTATTATCTTCCAGAAAGCTGAACCCAGAGTCGTATGCACCATCAAAGTCAGACAGCGAGAACGGTTGGTTTTGCTAGCAGCATTGCATAGCAGCGGGTGTTTCCACCTGCCAGATCTTTAAAAAAAAAAACTTAAAATGAGATGCTGCACATCTACCACATGTCCATACATGGCAGCCGCATGTTGGTTCCAACTCCTAGTCAATCGCTTCATCAATGGGTCACATGATGTCAGCCTATGATGTTGGTGCCACTCTCCATATGCCACGTACATCAGCCGGAGGGGGTACTAAAACGATTCTTTTGTTACTCCCTGGTGACCGTGACTGTACACAAAACTACAAATGCAGTCCCGTGACAACGCTGTGAGAACACTCCATATCGCCTGCCTTACTACTATGCTAGTGGCGGCGTACTACACTTTGGCATCGCACGGAGAAAAAACCCCGGTCTCAGGTCTCACAGTGAATATCAATTGGGTTAGTCACTTGTTTGTGCGGTCTCGCTGCTGGTTGACTTCACCATCACTTTCAGTTCGGCTCTCGGTATATCTCATCACCGGCTGTTGGTGTCTGCATTGTTGATGTCTGCATTGTTGATGTCTGCATTGTTGATGTCTGCGTTGTTGGTTTTCTGCATTGTTGGTTTTCTGAATTGCTATTTTCACTGTAGAGGAAGGTGAAGATTATACATCGTGTAGTGTGGCCAATGCTGGTGTCAGACCAACCAGTCACTTGAGGGTATGTCACTATGTAGCCTATGCATAGTTACCGCTAACAGGCCCTGGGTAATGTCACCTCCTCCTCCTCCTCCTCCATCCTCCCCTCTTCCTCCTCCTCCTCCCCTCCTCCTCCTCCTCCTCCCTCTCCATTACCAGCAATTATATGACATCCCACAGAGTCCGAAATTCCGTAAAATATTTGCGCATTTACTGCGGAGATTGATCTTGGAAGGAAGAAAATTGCTCTGAACTATGGCCATAATCGAAATGTAAGGCATCAAACCAGTGAACCACGCCAACAAGACGAACAGTTACACAACGGAAAAAACGAAAGTGAAAAACATTGAACAACCGATGCGATCTCAACTCCTAAGAATCATGATTTTCTTCTCCACTGAAAAGTATCTGTTACCTTGGTGATCTTGAGGAAATAGCAAGAATTGACCTTCTTCATGGTCATTTCTGAAGCTTCCTCCAAATATTGTCAGCCAACAAACCACAGCATTGTCACCTGGCTAGTCTGATCTCTGTCCTGAAGAAGGACCAGTTCCAAAAGATTGCAGGTCCAGTGCGCTTTCTAGCTTCAAAGATCTAGGAAATCGCCTCATTCTGCACATTTCAAGCAGCTTCTCAATTGTTTCTGGCTTGACATTGAACAGCAAGAAGATGAAAAGCACTTCTTTCTCAGTTTTTTCGAGTAAACTACCTCTCCAACCGCGTGGCTTTCTCTGAAGGCCATTTTGTAGGGGCTTTCCCATGGCCATGTGCTGGATGCATGCCATGTCGATGTACTGACATGACATGATGCATGCTGTCATATGTACAAGGACGTAGACTACTGCTCATGCTCAGTGAACAGTCAGTACTCTGTCTGGTGTAGAGTGACTGAGTCAGGGAGTCGAACTTTATGACTGCCTGTTGACAAATAGCAACTTGTTTGGTGTAAATTTCTAGGTGGTATGGTTTGAGGACAGCGTTTAGAGTGGCTGACAGCTTTGCCAGCTAGATACTTGGTTTCATTCTGTAGCTCACTGGTTTGAGAATACAGTGTTTTTTGCGGCTTCTTCAACGGATATTGTGCACCATCATCAACGTGGTTACCTGTTTGTGATGCAGCTTTAACTAAAAGTACAACAACAAAAGCAACAGCCACAGCCCATGACAACCAGAACAACAACAACGACTACAACAACAACAACAACAACAATAACACCAATTCTCGTTCCTCATATACTGGCACACACAGAGACATAGACAGCAATAGAGACAACACACAAATTAAAGGGTAGTTGGCCGCAGCCAGATGTGACACTTGCGCAGCTAGTGGGGAAGCACTAGCCATCGGTATTCGTTATGAAAAGATAGAATCATGCGGACTACGTATATTGAATGCCTTGAAAAACGCGTCAACATGTTGACGATTTGACCAGCATCAGCCAAGGACTGATGGTCAAAACAAATAACAAAATACACTGTTATAATAAACGCACGATCCTTGAAGGGTGGTGGCGTTCCTACGGATGCGGAAAACTCGGCCTTAAGCCGAGTTTGACGCGAACAGTGAAATATACAAGTAATAATAAACAGAACTACAAGGACACATTATGTCACCATAATGTCGGCTGCGCAACCAGTCACTCATCTGACATAAGAATTTTTGAAGCAGCTAGTTGTCTGAAAACTGGTCATACTTCCAGTTTGTGTCCATACTTTCAAACTCTGGTTGCTGCAGGTGAAAAGAGATTCTCGCAAACCTATTAAAATGCACGGTTGCAGGCAGCGGCGTACAAGAATAAAAAGAAACGGAAAGAAATAACAAGGGTGCTTCAACGTTGACTGGGTTCGATCACTGAACACTAGACAAGAATGTTTGCAAACCAAAGGTAGAAGAACTGGTCAGCCTCAAATGCTACCTCAAGGACACACAGCGTAGCCAAAAAGTAAAGAAAAAATGGAAAATGGTGAGCTGAAGGCGACTGTCGCCGACATCACTGAGCAGTGCAAATGGTATGGGCAGACAAAAACAAATTGGAGAAGACCTACACAGCACTGAAGGAGATGTCAAGCATGAATGCCAAACCTACAAGTGAACCTGAAGGAGAGGAGGATGTGGGTGATGCCATCTTGGCTACCCTGGCCAAAGATTTCTCTGAGCTACGGCAGCACATACCTGCACAGGAAAACCAGCAGAAGAATAACGGAGAGCCTCATCATATCGTTGGGAAACGGCAACAGCAGCGCAACATGAAGAAATAGAAAATGTGTGCTGAAACTGCATTCTGGTTTACAAGAATGTTTGGGTCTCACTGCTAAATTACCTCGTACACATGGCCTGTGTATTTGCTTTAGCCTTTTCTCTGCTCTTTCCGGTTGCACGGATGTTTAGCTTGTACAAGTGCTTTCACTTACTCCCACCCACTCTCACTGGGCCTCTCTTTCCGGGTATATATGGATATCATTGCTTTTTCTTCTATCTTTCACACTAGTAATGTACTGCGTCCGGACTTCGCTAAAGCTTAGATACATATTGATACCTAAATCTATAACTTGCACTGCTTCCAGGAATACAATGCTGATGATGCTATGCTTTATCTCCATTACTATTTAGCCATCTGTGCCATTGTGCAGATTTGTATTCAGACAAATTAGTTTCATGCTACAATGCTTTCGTTGTGCTCTGCGGTAAGCTCATGATTAATCAATGCCCTTTTCTGTGGAAGAGACAAACTGCCGGGCAGCACGATCCCCTCCTGTCATAGATCCAGAGGAGTCCTGCAGGAACGTACATAGACTACGGCGAATCGTAGGCTTGATGGTAACCAGGTGGTGAGCCCGTGGGCTTTGTCCATGTACGTTCATGCAAGCATCCCAACCTGGAGGAAAGAACTTCACAGGGAAATTCTTCGGTCCCAACCCCCTTTGTCCAGTTTCTGATTCGAAAGTCAGAAATAGACTATTTCACTTCTATTTTTTCACTGCACAGCAGTGCAAGCTCATCAGCAGCCTCAAACATTCGTCATCTGAGAAAGGGCCCAACATTACCCGAACCATCAAAAGATCTACAGCAAACAAAAGGGAGATTTTCAAATTCATGCAAGAATACATTCAATAAATTCACCCAGAATGAAATGAAATCACCTGATAGATCGTCACTGATATCTTCTTGATACTCCCAAGTTCGTAAAGGATAAAGTCTCTCCATTTCACAAGGTACTGCACGCTGCCACCCTAAAGCAACAAAATTCACAGTACAACGAACAGCTCAATTGTGTCGACCTCGCGACCTAATTTATTACAATAAAATAAACGTACCTTCTTTCCCATTGTCGATCCGGTGAGAAGCAGCGAACACTTCAGGCCCCTAAGACTGCTTGAATTTTCTCCGCAGCGGACTGCTGCTGAAAACATCAGCTTGGCGTAAAAACCAGGCTCATTCTGTCTATGAGATACCTAGCGTAATTGAGAGCCTTCTCGCCGCCAGCCACAACAATAACAACAACAAAAATCACCTCCACCGAAAAAGACATGCAGAGAACTTGTGTACAGCGTGAGTTCAAAAAAATCCTTTTTCATTGAGATCACAAAAAAAACTTCACACTCGATCGCGCGAGCACCAGCAGTGACGTTTGGGTGGAAATATTTTATTTGAAAAACTTTTGTCAGGCGCGATGTCGCTGATTGCTGGTGATGCCTCCCCTAGGCCCCTCCTCCTCCACTCCTCCTCCCTCCTCCTCCCCCTCCTCCCCCTCCTCCCCTCCTCCACTCCTCCTCCTCCCCTCCTCTCCCTCCTCCCCTCTTCCTCTTCCTTCACCTCCTCCTCATCCCCTCCTCCCTTCCTCCTCCTCCCCTCCTCCACCCCTCCTCTTCCTCCCCTCCTCCATCCTCCTCCTCCACCCCTCCTCCTCCTCCTCCTCCTCCTCCCCTCATCCTCCTCCTCCTCCTCCTCCTCCTCCTCCTCCTCCTCCTCCAAGACAAATTTACTTTATTGATGGATAAGGAAGACCTGTGTGTATGATCTTTGTACTTGAATATCACAATATCCTACTCACAATATCCTACTCACAATATCCTACTCACAATATCCTACTCACAATATCCTACTCAATCATATCAACTCAGGCCATGCAACTTGGTTGTCAGAATCCCATACATGTACATTGCCTGTTGTTGGTTGACAGCATGTAACAACATGTCTGAACAAACAAGGTTTATCTAGTACCATGTACATTGCTGTGTGGCATTGCAACAAATCATGTGACCTGACACTGGCACAGAACCCGGTCTGAGCATAGGTTTGTTCCCATTTGTTCCTGCAGCTGTTTTCTCGGGAAGGAAGTCTGGATGTTAGCGCTATCAGTCTGGATCCTACCAACGGCGGGGAAGAGGACAGTAAAGCGGGTGATTCACGCAATGCACACGAGCAAGTGGCATCAGAGTCTCCTAGCGGCGATGATACAGCGGAGTAAGACACTATGGATATGTGTACTGTATTTGGGTTTGGGTTTCGTAACTAGCGTGCTGCATATTACAAGTACTGTACTGATACTTTCCTGAACGTTGTACTACGTTGGTCTGCGCTTGCATCTGTATGGCATATAGTCACATAGAAAGTTGTGGCAATTGTCGAAAAATGATATTTCTTCATATGTGATATGCAGTCATGTACTTTGGGACTGGGATGATCACTCTGTATGCACATACTTTAAAATGATATTTTGCTTACCAGGGACATGGAAGAGGCACCGCACCAGCTATCGGTCAGACAGCTTGAAGATAATGGCACCATTGCTGAAGAAGACTCTCGGACACGTCTTAACAGTGACAATAGTTCGGCCACTGTGGATCGAACAGAGGACAGTCAGCAGCAGCAGCAGCAGCAGCAAGGCCATGATCGTGGAGACGTCCGTGCTGACTCACTAGTTCCAGTGAAAGCTCCAGTTGAAACCAGTGACACAGGCGTATGCACACATGAACCAGAATATAGGAGGTGAGTGCCAATGGTTATCATCGGTCTGCATTGTCCAGTGCACAATCACTGAGCACAAGCTATAAGATTAAAATGGCCATGTATCTTGCTTGCACTTGTGTGTACGGCCCATGCCCGAGCCTGTAGCCAGCAGTCCTTGTGTTGTGGCGAAAGGGCCTGTTCATTGTTACTACAGGGGTTCTGCAGCACTAGTATGAGCTCATGAAGAATGTAAAAGAATAAATTCTATTGGAGGAAAAAAATTCTGCGGTTGCATGGCTGCATATACAGGGTGGCTGCATCTGGGTGGACTCAAGACATTCGCTAATGGATGTTATTGTTTTTTTGTTTTGTTTTGTTTTCGGCTGTGTACAGATGCCTTGGCCTACGTGTGTATGCACCAAGGGAGCTCAAGGGATGTGAGTTGTGATTTTTATATGTACACCGAAAAAAGGTCTCTTTCTTTTTTTTAAAGCATCATCCTTCTATTAGGATACAAGACTGCTGTTTCTACTTTATCTTATTGAATTATGCAGTGTGTATGCATGCAGAGTTTGCAGAGTTTTCAATAAAGTAAGTTCCATGACCGCAGTAATGTTTGGTAGAAATTCCGAAAGAATTCAGCTTTGGCGAAGGATTTCTGTAAGTGGTGTTGTGGTGTTGTGGTGTTGTGGTGTTGTGGTGGTGTGGTGCTGTGGTGTTGTTGTTACTGTTGTTACTGTGGGCAGTTTCATCCGCTGCAGTGACAGTGAGTCTTGGTGACCAAGTGTTCAACACCGATGTGTTTGATCTGTCACCGGTGTCGCTGTCCGGCGGCGCTCCCAAGTACCACTACGGCGAGTTTGAGTTCCAACTGCCACCGACCTCCAAGTATGATGAGAGTGCAGCTGTTGCCATGGCGGCAGATCCCAGTAGCAGTGAACAGTCTGGCCAAGTGACCCACAGCCACGGCAGTATCATCAGTAGTAGCAACAGCTCGGCTCTCCTAGATTCTGGGAGTGCGGACACCGGCAGCGGCGAAGAAGAGCATGACACGACACTAAACATTGTTCTGCACTCGAAGAGTCCTCAAGGGCCCATTGTTGCTATGACAACAGTGCCGTTGAAGACTTTGCTCGTCGGACAATTGGTAAGCATTGTGACCTGACCACCTGGGTGTGCTATTGTGTTGTGTGTAAGTTTTTTTTGATGGCATCGGTCATGTTACAAAAATTCACGGTTAGCGTGAGACTCGGCTGGAGGCCGAGTTTTCCGCATCCGTATGAACACCACCACCCTCGGTGGATCTTAAGCCATGGTAATATTCAGCAACACCCTTTCAGATGGCAACTTATTTTAACGATTTGCTCTGTGGCTGTTTGAGCTCCAGTTCTGCCGGTAGCACAGGGATTCAGTCGCAAGTAGCTAGGGTGTTATCATGTTTGTGCTCCTTCACAGTAACTGCTGTGTGGTATAATAGTGCAGCAACAATGCACAGTAAGTGGTGTGTGGTATATAGTGCAGCAACAATGCAATGGAAGGACACAGATACGAAAGAAAGCACGGTGGACCCTGGCTAAGCCAGACCGCGGCCAAAGAAATCTGACCCGTGAGTCTAAAGTAGCGCCGTGCTTCCTTTTCAACTACGTCATGCATGTTCAAACGATCTGAGGGTCACTGGGGATTACATCATGCCTCGTCCAACGATCTGAGGGTCACTGGGGCCACATGAGCCTTGGTGCTGCTTTCGGCGCTTGCCGTGGGTCGGATTCGGCCTTTGTCCACGACTGTACTACGTAACAGCTTTGCATAGCTTCAGGAATAAGTGTATGATCTGTTCTGTTTTCCGGTGATGCCCGCCGCAGTGCTTCACTGTGTGCCCTACAGATGACCATGAGATCTACACAAGTATGGAGGAAGGTTTGAGGATCACTCAGCTGACAGGCAGTGATGTCTTCCAGATTGACACGCAGGGTCCAACTGACTTTGAGTTGAGACCCATGGCTGGAGGCATGCCGTCTAAACTGCCTCTTCTGCCATTCCATGTAAGGGGTAGAGAAATGTTAGTTTTGACATGCCTGGAGCATCGCCACCCTCCGCTGAGTCAATGGGGAGGTTTAGTAGCTTGTTGGCGGTTGATTTAGCCTTACAGAAAATGGGTTTAAGAGAATGTTTTAAAAGAGAATGTCGTTTTGCAACCGGTCAGGTTGTGAGTCTTGCCTGTGTCTCGTGAAATGTTTTGCTATGGCGAATCAAGCATGCTTTACTTGTTTGCATGAAACTATGCTGTGCTAGACCGAGGTCTGTGCTGCTTGTCTCCGGAGTGCTATGCAGGTGTGGGTGGGTGCGCGCGCCGCATGCGTGCAAAGCATTGATCCCACACTGTCTACTGTGACATCTGCAAAATGTATCGGTGGTGAAGAACCATGATGAAATGTATCGGTGGTGAAGAACCATGATGAGTCACTGACTAAGCCTTTCAAACCTCCAAGAGGAGATTGAATGAAAGGGCCGCCGGAGTAGAATTTGTTTTGCATGCCTGCAGATCCGAGTTAAAAGGAACCTATATAGCTCCAAATGTCAAATTAACCTATAGCATGAAGTGAATAAGTAAATTCGCTAGGCTGGAGCATGCAAAGCTCAAGTCTGTGGACAACTGGTAGTCTGGTCTTCTAAAGTTCACTCGTTCATTCAAATTGAATCTATTGATAGGTTGGCCTGGGCATATTTTGAGTTAAGGAGCGGAAAAATAAAATATTGAATTCATTTGTGTGGATGGCTGCACTGTTGTTTTGTGTGTACTGAACATACCGGTATTCGCCTGTGACTTCATTTGCTGCGTGTTGCCATGGCTCCTCCAGATCAAGATGGAAGTGTACGTATTGTCAAATTCCCAGGCGTATATGTACAATGTACATATAATTACAAACCAGAGCTATAATAATTATGCACATGCTTGAGTCATTGGGGGGGGGGGGGGGCGCTTATGCGCTGGAGCCGGGACTGATATGGAGTGTAAAATGCAGTGCCTACCATGCACAGCGATGCTTACAGTAACTGATAAAATTAATTGGATTCACTGTTACCAAGTACATGATTGTACATGTACAGTCACAGAGATACATGTATGACGGTGTATAGTACCTGATCAAGGGACTCCCAACCTTGTGGTCCCCTTGTACATAGCTCCCGCCCCTGTGTACCCCCGTCCGACCCCTTATCCATGCATCATTTGAATGGAAGGGATGCCCCCTTGGCCCTGGTTCTAGTCGGGTCATCACGTACGCTGTGGTCTCCTCAAAACAGTCTGCTCACCGTATGTGTAGTATACTCTGTATAAAAGGATAGTGACATAGTGACATGATGTAATTAGTTGTAGAAACTGCATGTACACTGCTACTGAGACTGCACAAAGCCAGGAATGGCAGAAACACCGTTAGTTCACCATAATCAGCATGCATTGCTGCTTTCACCCGCTTGCTCTCCTCAATTGTCTTTCTCAGACCAATCACATTCCAGAAGGCAACTGAAACAGTGCCACTTGAAGAGTAAGTGAAAAGGACTCCATGCTTTTGTTAGAAACAGGAATTGTATGCGCCGTCTACACATCCGTGGACAGGTTGGTGTAATTCACATCTGTGGACAGGTTGGTGTAATACATTACAATCATGAACGTTATTTGTATAATTCTGTGTCTGTGGCTGCACTCGTATCCCACATAGTGTATGCTATGCCAATGAAAGCAAGTTTCCTGCTGTTCTTTCTATGTTATCATTTTCTTTGTACAGGCTTGTGGCAGGAGTTGCTGGCGAGCTTGGCTTTGTCAGGTGAGGCATGATGAGATATTCCGGGATCAGGGCAATACAATGTAGATGCAGACACATGGTCATGTACAGGTCACAGTATTGTCTATTGTCGGTGTAGGCCGGAGGTGAAGGCCTGTAGTATTGTCGGTGTAGGCCGGAGGTGAAGGCCTGCAGTATTGTCAGTGTAGGGAGATGAAGGCCTGCAGTAGTCTATATTTTGGCACTGCTTTAGAAGCCGCAGACTTGCCTTAGCCCTTAAAGGGGAAGTTAAGGCAAAAATCAAAATTTCACCACTTGTAGTCTTCGGGGTGCTGAGTCGAATGGTCTTGGTCCGAGAAAGCTGAGACGCTCCCTTCCTACTTGAATCCCAATCGAACTCGCGCACTTCCACCGAAACTGGGTGACTGCGCCCTACGAGATGGGGATTTGTATGCAAAATGTCACTAAAAGCGCCATTTCGTTCTTATAAAAGCACGGATGACCGCGATTGGCCCATATGTTGTAGTCTTTTGGACGCTGAGTCGACTGGTTTTGGTCCGAAAAGGCTGCGATGCAGCGTTCCTCCTTTATTCCTAATCGAACGTGGTTGAAGAAGCGGTCACGTGCTCCTGGGTGCCAAAATCACCTGGTCACCACGCCAGCAGGCGACAACTTTCACACCAAGGTTCAACTCGAGTGACAGGACTGCACCCAAAAAAGGTCAAAACAGGCTGTAAGTTGTACCCTGCAGGCACGGTGACCAGCTGACTGGTGTACGCAGGAGCACGTGACCGCTTGTTCAACCATGTTCGATTGGGAATTAGGGGCGAACGCTGCATCGCAGCCTTTTCGGACCGAAACCAGTCGACTCAGCGTCCAAAAGACTACAACATATGGGCCAATCGCGGTCATCCGTGCTTTTATAAGAACGAAATGGCGCTTTTAGTGACATTTTGCATACAAATCCCCATCTCGTAGGGCGCAGTCACCCAGTTTTGGTGGAAGTGCGCGAGTTCGATTGGGATTCAAGTAGGAAGGGAGCGTCTCAGCTTTCTCGGACCAAGACCATTCGACTCAGCACCCCGAAGACTACAAGTGGTGAAATTTTGATTTTTGCCTTAACTTCCCCTTTAAGGGCAATTGCGTTCTTCTTAAGGCTACTGTAAAGTCAGTGTGGCTCCTACACGAACCATAAAACGGTTTGTCATTTTTGATGTCGGGATCAGATGGCATTCTTACTATTCGGCACCTTAGCAAGGCGAAGCAGTGCCTTAGAACTGATAGAAGTCACCCTCACGGACAACCACATCGAGTATAGCAGCAACTCGCGACTAACAACACAATCATCAGACACAGTCACCATATAACTTCATTCTTGCCTCATAAATAACGCATTAGCGACAAATTGCAAACAACGACAGTGTTCTCATGTGCAATCAAGGCTAGTCATTATTCACAAGGTTGACTCTAACAGCTTGCAACCTGACAGCTTCTTGGACTTGATGTTTCAGGAGGCGACTGAATGCCTCGAGGCTTGTCACTTCTATGTTAGATTGTGGCAAGCTAAGCTAGTACGAATTTATGCCCATTTCTCGAGCTATCGTAAGCTTTCGAACTGGAGTGATTGTATGATCATGTGTTGGGGTGTGCTGTGCAGCATGGAGGAAGCAGCTGCTCTTGTCAAAGAGCGGGAAGAAGAACACACGAGAGCGCAGCAAGAATACGGAGTAGCTCAGGTCAGTGGGGAAGTATCATCAGTCAAGATTTGAACCACAGCTGGCCGCGGAGAAGTTCTATGGCCGGACCTGTTCTCTTCGCACTGCTGCGTGATCCATTGACGGAAGAATAATGATTATTGCTGGGTGGTATAATATCATGTATTTAATACTTATCTGCATTCAGCCTACGTATACACCCACGGAACATAGTGCCGAGCCAGTACAGAAGCAGCAGTGTGATTGCATCGGCTTGACAACTTGCTTGAATACAACCTGTACTTCTGCCATGTGCTGGTAACACTGATGCTTATCATTGTTTCCGTGTATAATTGTGTATGCAGGATGCAGAGGTATCTGACATCCAAGACGAATACAAGCAGAACATAGCCACTATGACCCTGCATCACGCTGAAGAACTGGTTGTCATGCAAACAGACTATGAGTAAGCTCACTGGTGGCCAGGGAGTAGTACAATACCGGTATTGTACTACTCCCTGCTGGTGGCAACTCCATGTGCTGCTGATGTGTTACTAAGAAAACCAGGCAATACTCGTAGGATGCATAATACACACATGCGTGTGTTGTAAAGGACTTGCTCGGTGCCCGTGATTCTCAATCTGTTAGCTACTGCTTGCTATACCGTAAGGCGCTGCATGAATGTACGTCAGTGTCCGCAGCCCTAGGCCGCTCTACCTAGTTCCTTTGCTGTGTTCTGTATTGCTAGCTCTACGGGCACAGCTCTGCTGCATGGCTTCATTCTGATTCAGCTAGTTCACAACACTGACTACATGTTTGTATAGAACCGGCATACCGTGACGCCATAATGACACTGATGTATGTGCTTATCACCTTGACTGATCCACCGGCACCGGTACATGTATGTCTGGCTATGGTGGTTCAATGCAGGTCTAAGATGCTGGCCTTGACAGAATCTCTAGACGAACTGAAACGGCAAATGGTCACGCCACCGAAGAGTCACAATGAACAGGCTGAACGTAAGGCTGCATTCACACACGCTACGAAACCACGTGCATGCGTCATGCTCTTTGAAGTGCCCATAGAAACATGCGCAAAAAGTGAAAAATCACATGCACGTTGAAAGCAATCCTGGAGCCGCTTTGAAATCAACTTTGAAAGCAGCGGATTTCTGCGTTATATTTCAGTCGAAACAAGCACCCGCATGATGATCTGGGTAAGCGTACGGTACGTGCAGGTAGTTTGGCGCAAAAATTTAAATTTTCCCGTGCCTCACCATGGATATTTGGTCACGCAGGCCACTGTATATGTGCATGAGATGCAACTGCATTTCCTGTGTGAACGCATACTTGTTGCAAGTGGCTTGTACGAAGAGCCTTTGTACCGTGTGTGAATGCAGCCTAAGTTTCACTACAATTGCCACCCTGATTAAGTGGGCTGTTACTGTTAACAGGCACTGCTAGTTATGTACATAAAATAGAAAGGTTCCAGGCTGTCCAAAAGAGTGCTCAATGCCCAAAGGGCATCCTCTACTTCTTGCTAGCCGACTATTATGCTGGTACAGTGCTTTAGTAAAGTGGGCTCCGTCACGACGTTCATTGACTTCCTGGTGTAACTGTTAGGTGCGGTGCGAGCGTACAGGCACAATGAGTACAGGGGTAGGCTCCGAACCGGCTATCTCTTTCTTTGACCCGGCTATCTCTATCTCTTTCTTTGTTGCCTTTTGCAGAGGCCACTCAAACCTCAGGCATGTCAACGCCAAGTGGAAGAGAATCTCATTCGGCGACAAAAAGGGTATGTCACACAGCTGATAGTGATGTCTACAGTCACAACTGATACCGGACCGGTAGATTCTTCTTCTTTTTTACATCAACGAAGTATACAGATAGAAATCATAGAACCGTAGTTTGCAGCACGCATGTTAGCCCCCCCCCCCCCCCCCCGTGCATATCATTGAATTATTATTATTATAAGCACTATCGCGATGTAAGCGGAGATGCCTACTTCACTTGTGCCATCCAGGATGATGATAAAGAGAAGGACAAACAGAAAGCTCAGAATCTTGAGGAACAATGCTGTAGAGCACAATAGCTGTGATCGATATCATTGAATACAAGGAAATAATGGTTAGTTCATTCTTCCCGCTTCTCTTGTTTTATCAGGTGTCGGTACATTCAATGGATTTGCCTGAGTCCACTCTTCGTCATCTCATACCCGGGTCACCTCTGCATCCCGTGCCACTGGCGTGAGTCATAGCATCACATGTTCCTTTATCCAACAATGCCTCCTAGATACAATCATAGACTCATTTGGAAAGTCGGATACGAGTACCGTAGTAGCGGATATAAGCGCATTTTCACTTATAAGAGCATGCTCTTATGGGCGAAGCACTACCAAAATTATCACGTTGACACGAGCACGGATCATTGAAAAGTCTGCAAACAGCACACAGGAACCATGAAGCTGACACTACAAGACCTAGTCAAACACAAAGACTCTGGCAAACAAACTCTGATCGCGCATGCGCGTTTAGGTGAAAAGCATTTCATTTTTGGAAATTTGATTCGTAGCAAAAATTCACTTATAAGTGCATGATGATTGTGCTTATATGTGCGTTATTAGTACTTATTACGGTACATACTAGACTCGTGCAAGAATACCCTTCATTTCTGTGCATGTATCAGACCCTGGTGCTAGTGGATCGCATCGAAACTATGGCAATACGGTTATTAGAATCCACGGTTGACCTCTGCTTGCAATGCTAGACCATTTGTACGACGTATTCCCTGTCTTCTGAGGTAGAAACTAGCACGCAAGGTCATCATGACATGCAGTAGTCTATTTGTGAGCATTCGGCCTTTACGGTGATGACCCATTCGTATTCTGTTAGTTGACAGGGTTCCATATATATTAAAGCTATAACCATTGGCATTATTTCAGTATGTGCCTTTCAGATAGAACAGCATACATAACCTCTTCTCACATCCACTGCAAGACCATGCACTTTGGAGGGTACCCCGTATTACGCTGGGAGATGTTTGAACTCGAGCGCTGAGTAGATGTTGCAGTGCAGAGAATGTTTCAGCCTCACTGCTGTTCTGCTGTACCTGCAATGACAGGAAAGCTTCTCGTACACCGCCACCAGCCGGCAAGACGATGCGAAAGCGGTCTTCCAGGGTCTCTCACCCCATGCCTGCAGACTGGATGGAAAATATCCCCAAAGATGTAAGTGTTCTCTAACTGGACAAGGGGGGGGGGGGGGGTGCAACAATAACTCACCTGCTGCGCTCCTGTTGTGTTCCATCAAAGCATTTGGCTTCAGAGCTAGCCGTCATTTTTTACCTGGAGGTGAACAGCCAGCAATTCATGTTGAAAGTATGACAGGAATTCTTACATCATAATGAGGAATTTTTAAAAGCTAATAGCAGTATGATTGGCAACCAAGGTGTTCACACACTGTTCTAATTTTCTATGGTTGTGGTGCAGTTTCTCGAGCGCCTGGAGCATTTCACGCAGGCCAGTATGGAGCGCCATCAAATACTCGTCCAGACGGTCAGACATCAGGTTGGTAGTTTTTAGGTTGTCCTTGTCACTATCCTTCTCGTCGTGTTCTGCCGTCGTCTTTTTCTCTTCGCCCACTCCTTCCCTCCTCCGTTGCTCATTGTCGGTTGGGTCATACAAGTGCTTTGTAGTACTCCGGGCCGGGTACATGTACTTGGTATATACAGTCAACTTCGCAAATAACGACTGCGGATATAACGACAATTCGCGAATAAGGACAGAATTTCCGTGCCCAGAGCAAAGTCCCATCTAACTGTAATACATATAATGAGACTTTGGGTATAAGGACACTTCGCGAATAAGGACAGTTTTCTGATGCCCCGCCAAGCGTTGTATGCAAAGTTGACTGTACTTCAAAATAGACGTTTCTAGACATTGCTCCACCGCTGCTGCACAGTTGCAATACGCTATCATAAATCATCTTGATTGGCCCGTGTGTCAGATGGAGTGCACCACCACCACATGCAGTACACCTGGACTATGGCTTGAATAATAGTGAGTGCAGGTCTTAAAAGTTAAAACTGATGGGTATAAGATTGATGGATGCACAATGCCAATGGTACTCGATGTGCTGCTGCGTCTCAAGGTCATCCAATCTCTGCTTACACCATGTATGCAGGTTCAGTCGATTTTCTCGCAACAGATGGCTGCAAACCATCGTCTGCGCACTCATGTTGCAAACGAAGGTAAGCGAACATCACTCTTAGCTGGTATAAGTAGGATTCGGGTCAAAGACCCCCCCCCCCCCCACATACACACACAGCATATAGAGGCACTGCCCCTATGCTAGAAGTTTCGGATATATTTCGCCACGCGCGAACTGTGAGAAGCTCGTAGTAGTACTAGTCACGTGTACTGTGGCGGCTTGTAGTACTAGTCATGATGGTGTTGCTTGCCCTTCCCTCTGGCACTGCAGTTGATGACCTTTCTGTTCTACACTGGGCCAGCACGTAGCTGTGCCCCAGGTACAACATGATTGTATGCCAAAGACACACCTTGACCTGTGTCCCCTTGTGCAGTACCCGGGCATGGCTGTGTTTTTGTCTGTGTGAACGACAGCAGCGGTGGTGGTGGTGGCGGCGGCGTTGGTAGTGGTGGCGGCGTTGGTGGTGGTTGTGGGGTGGCGATAAACAGTTCTTCTATGTACTGTGTGTACTGTGTGTTGAAACTGCAGAGCTATGCTTACCGGCACTCTACCTGCCAACGCAGAGACCCAAGGTCATCTTCACACCCAAAGCACATTCCTACTTCCACCCAGCAGGTATGTGGGCTCTACGTATACATCATGCCAGTCTCAGATCATCCATTCGACTTTACAGCAGTTCCATGATGATCGGGTGATTATTTACACTGCGACTACACAATCAGATAGTAGTGTGCAGGGTAGTGAGGCAGTGTGCCGCACACATGCTCTATGACGACGGGTGCTGAATTATTGACAGTGACAGCCTGAGATAATAGTGCTGCACAAATCGAAACACGTCGACTGGTAAATGCAAAAATTCCGCTAAGAAATGTCAATGTGTAGGCCTGATGTATGTTATGCTCGTGACAGTAATGAGACACCTCTGGATCTGACAAACAAAACATTCACGGTCTACGTGATACTCGGATAGACTGAGTTTTCCGCATCTGTAGGAACACCACCACTCTCAAGGATCAAGCGGTGGGAAGTGAGGAGATCAGACCCGCTGCCAAGTGGTCGAAGACCGAAAATCCCCTGCACTGCATCCATGCTTCCCTCGTGCCAGGCCACGGGTTCGTAATTACCTGTGCCTCTGACTAAGCATGGGTGTAACGGGGTTTGCATATGACATTGTGCTGTTGTATTGTGTGCTCTCAACGCACAGGTTCCACGTCTGTTCGAGTTTCTCAGCCGCCATCGATCCTCAGTCTACCTCCCATTCCTCGGAAACAGCCTCCCGTATCCAAACCTGTGATGTGTGTGTGTGCATGTGTACGTGTGCACGGGTGTGTGCGAGCGAGAGCCTGCGGTGGGTGTTCACACGTACTATGTGTACTATGTGTACATGAGCAGAATAAGTTACATAACTGTGATGTGGGTGGCAACTTACAAATGGCTACAGACAATTTGTATGCATCGTAGGGAGTTCTAGAATGGATGCAATTGTGTGAAACATTGATGCCGGTGACTGATAAATCCACTTTGATCTGCAACAGTTGATACCCTTGTCGGTGTCGATATCATGACCTTTGTGTGACGGTCTATTGATTAGCTGTTTTGTTCAGAAACTTCAGCTAGGGAGTAGCCATTTAAAACCAGAAATGGCTAATTTACTTCAAAAAGAAGAAGTATGTATGTAGATTTCCTTGACAAGGAACGCCCAACTAATGCAACATACCCAACCATTGCAGGCAATCAGCACAGTAAATCTGTTTGAACTCAGTCAGAAGTATGGAGGCGCAGACAGTCCCTACCTAGGCAAGGGAAAGGCCAAGAAAACAACGTTCCCGACTCACGGCAGCAATCCACCGCCATCGCTGACTCACCTGCGTAGCTTTGTCGACGGTACACGCACACCGAAATCAGCCGATTGGGAAAGTGATATCGACGACCAACAAGCTTAGTCCCGGCGAAGTCAAGCGGCATCGACATCGGGGAAAAAAAACTTGAGATTCTAATTTGGTCGGAATTGATCCGACACCAGGTATATGGCATATTATTCCAAACACATCTAAAGCCAGGGAGTCGTAAAATACCGGTATTTTACGACTCCCTGTCTAAAACCATAACAAGTGCATTTTTCGAAACTCTTCATGCACATGTGAACGATTTTAAATTCTTTCTTTTTTTGTGTGTCATTGTACTTATCATACCGGTATCTGTGCCACTTCTACCACTAACCCATGTGTATATGGGAGGTATGAGGTATGCGTGCATGCCATGACTACAAATGCACGGCTACACCACATGAAGGGAAAGAAGTAACATAACAACAAATTGCCACCCATGAGAAGCAGTATTACAAAATGCTTACCCCTAGGGGGACCAGATAGCAACCTTTACCTATATGCAAAATTAGTACAAAAGCAGTATAAAAATTGCCACGGTAAAGATAATTGGTATGATGATAAATACAATTTCACAACATACTTTTGAGAGAGGACAGCATAAATAAGAACTCCTCGTGCATGGAATCGCAGAGAGATGAAGATACAACCAAGTAGTTATACAGGTAAAGTGTTCCGACAGGGAAAGAAAGGCGCGTGCTGGCAAGGGGGCCAGGCACAAAATTTGATGATGATGAAAAGTGTGTGTAATGTGCACAGTCGCTGCATGTGCATCTGGCAGCGGAATAAAATACTATGTGCAACCAAAAAGACGGAACACAGCGAGCAGGAAAATAATTTACGATACTGCACGTACAGCCAGCATACGCAGTATCGGAATAATTATTTAACATTGCACAAGCAGCAGCAGCAGCAGTATGCTGAGTATTGGAATAATAATATGGGCAGAAGCAACAGCAACAGTCAAGCTCAACTCCACTAGTAGTATGTAGTAGTATGGGAATGACTTAAATCAGCACTGATCATCACCTGGATGACCATAATGATAAACTCTCAAATTCAATCCTGCATGGGAACAATCCAGTATTCACACAATATTTATTCGGGGTAATTCTATGTGTCTTGCGTTGTGGCAGCCTCATTGGCTGTTGGCAGCATCACGATAGAACTGCAACACAATATCCCCCCACCGGGTCCACACAATATGTATTGGAGATAATTTCTGTGCAATGCGTTGTGGCATTCTCGGTGGCTGTTGGTAGCTGTTGGCAGCATCACAATAGAACTGCCACACAATGTCCCCCCCCACAGGGTTCCACCAGACCCAGGCCGGGCACACCTGCAGTAGTCAGTAGTGGCATGACTTAGCAGGTCATTTGTGCTCGTCTGCCAGCGTCTCTATGAGTTCCACAACAGTGGCGTACGTACCCGTGACCATGCCAAGAATACCGATGAACGCAATCAGAATATTGCGAATCTTCCAGAGCACGCCAGGATGGTCGTTCCAGAAGACGGCCATGTGGATGATGGGCGGAAAGATGATGGCCAACGCACTGCTGCCTAGGGCGCCCACCAAGGAGATGAACAGACCCAGGTTGGGCACACCGGCTGCCAGGCCAGCTAACAATACACAGTGTGAGCAGAAACAAGAGAGAGCCAAAAGGGGATTCTGGAATCTATCCTACTCGACACATAGTTTTTATTCCAATCAGCAAAATGTGAGAACAACAATGGACAAAGAACTCACTACTACTCAATGATACAGCTGCATCATCACAGTACACTAGGTAGTAGACTAGCTATCACGGGCAGCTGCAGCCTGTGCACTGCGGAAAATCAAACTTTCACTCTGGTTCGACATGAACTTTTGGACAAAACTTCAGTCCACGTGCCCAAATTTTAGAGATCGCGTCGATGCTTGAAAAACGAATTGCGCAAAGTCGGCCCTGCTGGTACGAGAGATTGTGGTTTGAGTGCATGAGTACAGGCATGTTGCAGGTCAGCCGGGTTATGAAGGCAGCGCGGGTCAGTCGGGTTGTGAAGGCATCGCGGGTCAGTCGCGTTACGAAGGCAGCGCGGGTCAGTCGGGTTACGAAGGCAGCGCGGGTCAGTCGGGTTATGAAGGCAGCGCGGGTCAGCCGGGTTATGAAGGCAGCGCGGGTCAGCCGGGTTATGAAGGCAGCGCGGGTCAGTCGGGTTATGAAGGCAGCGTGGGTCAGTCGGGTTACGAAGGCAGCGCGGGTCAGTCGGGTTATGAAGGCAGCGCGGGTCAGCCGGGTTATGAAGGCAGCGCGGGTCAGCCGGGTTATGAAGGCAGCGCGGGTCAGTCGGGTTATGAAGGCAGCGCGGGTCAGTCGGGTTATGAAGGCAGCGCGGGTCAGCCGGGTTATGAAGGCAGCGCGGGTCAGCCGGGTTATGAAGGCAGCGCGGGTCAGCCGGGGTATGAAGGCAGCGCGGGTCAGTCGGGTTATGAAGGCAGCGCGGGTCAGCCGGGTTATGAAGGCAGCGCGGGTCAGCCGGGTTATGAAGGCAGCGCGGGTCAGCCGGGTTATGAAGGCAGCCCGGGTCAGCCGGGTCATGAAGGCAGCGCGGGTCAGCCGGGTCATGAAGGCAGCGCGGGTCAGCCGGGTCATGAAGGCAGCGCGGGTCAGCCGGGTCATGAAGGAAGCGCGGGTCAGCCGGGTTATGAAGACAGCGCGGGTCAGCCGGGTTATGAAGGCAGCGCGGGTCAGCCGGGTTATGAAGGCAGCGCGGGTCAGTCGGGGGGGGGGGGGGGGGGGGGGTTATGAAGGCAGCGCGGGTCAGCCGGGTTATGAAGGCAGCGCCGGTCAGCCGGGTTATGAAGGCAACGCGGGTCAGCCGGGTTATGAAGGCAGCGCGGGTCAGCCGGGTTACGAAGGCAGCGCGGGTCAGCCGGGTTACGAAGGCAGCGCGGGTCAGCCGGGTTATGAAGGCAGCGCGGGTCAGCCGGGTTATGAAGGCAGCGCGGGTCAGCCGGGTTATGAAGGCAGCGCGCTTGCACTTCAAAGTACATTGTATACTCTGACTTGTACGCATGGATGCAATTCATTCTTTCTACAAAACCTCGCACCACGCTAAATCACAACAATAACTTTACGCGATGCAAAAAATAACGAAATAAGGTCTTTTGAAAAGTGAATTTGATCATAGGCGATACTCACTGTTTAGAATATAGATACAGGCACCTGTTAGCCAGTACAAGTCACTTTCTGTACCCATGAAAACCTCTATGCAGGAGAGCTAAGCTATAGGCAGACTGCAAAAATGTCATACCGGTATTCGATCCATACCATGCAGCACATACAGGCAAGGACTTGACAAACTTGTACAGTATATGTGCGATATGAATTTTCCAATCTAAAACCTAAACCTGACCCAGCAAAGAAGAGTGGGGTACTTACCAGCTCCAATGACAAGTCCTGCTCGCAGGGCATGACTAACCAGGGCACGCTTTCGCTCAGAGTCGCCTAGGCGCTTGAAAATGAACGGCTCGATTATCTGAATGGCCACGTAGAACTGCACCAGATAGGATGACATGATGGCAAAGGTGAAGAAGAGCTTGACGTAGATGTAGGGTCTGTAGGAGGGATATGGTTAAGTACATGACAACGTCACATGCGCACACACATACAGTGTAATTTGGAGCTTCACACTTGTACAGTCAACCAACAATAAGAATAAGGTCCTGGAAACTGAATCCTTCTACTGTGACGTGAGTAAAACTTGATAGTTACTATTACACTTTGCCTTTGAGATACCAAAGAACTGTACAATCATGGACTTATAACTTTTAACGTGAATTTTGCTTCGACAGTTTTCGAGGCAAGGTGGTAGGACGTACTTCGACGAACAGTCACAAAACCCGCGACTACTAGCAATGCATGCATAATTCAGTTGGTAGGGCCACAGACTACTGTAACCCTTCCAACTGAAAACGGAATATAGTCAGGAGTAATAACTATCCTTTGAAGTACACATACGTCCTCCCACCTTGCGTTAAGAGCTGTCAAACATTATTCTACTTGAAGTACAACAATAAAGCTTAAACTCGGATGTTGAGCCCAATAATAAAATTTAGAGCATGGAAAGGATCATAATAAGATTACGAGCTATACAAGTAGTATCTATTAGATAAACCTGGTTTAATCAAACATGTCCTCCACCCTGCTACATGCTGTCAACCAACAACAAGTAGTATCTAGTTACAGTGGTGGATAGTTACTCTTATAAACTAGTATCCATACCGTATTATCTCTAATATAAGCACAGTCTCCAATAATAGCACGTCTCCAATAATAGAACACCTTGGGGCGGCATTCAAAAAATAAAGTGCTCAGTCTCCATTATAAGCACACTGTGTAAATTCATTATCTGTACAGGTGAAAAACCTTGAAATGTGTGTGTCTGACATGAATTTGGCATGGCAACAAGCCTCTGAAATGAGGTTGAAATAATAATGGAACAGTCTCCAATAAAGGAACGTCTCCAATAATAGCATGGGGCGGAGGTGCATTGAAAAAATAAAGGACCGTGCTTATATTAGAGATAATACGGTATGTTCTTTTCCTTTCTATACAGTTTAAAGCTGAAGTTTTCAATCTAAACAGCTTACAGATTGTTAGGATCATGAGAGTCACCGGGTAGGTTGAGTGTGATGCTACCCAGGGTATCTTCGCGGAAACAGATGAACCCAAACGAGCCGACGAGCAGGAACAAGGTGGACACGAACGACATGCCACCAATCACTATTGCAGGGAAGTGTCTCGGCTTCTTCATATCATTCTCCAGGGGCATAACCTGTATGGCAAGCAGCCGATCAATCACACACAAGCACACACACAGCACACATGCATGCACGCACACACACACACACACACACACACACACGCACACACGCACACGCGCACACACACACACACACACACACACAGCAGGGGACAAAACACAACAGCACAATGACTCGTCGTCAGGACAAACAATAGCACACCGGGGGCTCGACCTTCAAGCCGGTGACACATGGCGAGTGCCAGTCAGACACGTACTTATCATGCACAAACAAGGCCGGGTGAGGCAACTCAAAGTACAGTGCTCCATGCACAAGTGTGTGAAAGGCTGTGTAGCTGTAATGGGCGATTCAGACTGTGGCCAATTGTGACCACGTTTCACTCAGACGTGTTTGATCAGCGACTGTGCATAAATCATTTGAAACACGACTGCATCACCATGGAAATTCAAGTTCAGACGTGATTTTGGCCGTAGTCTGAATCGCCTGTAAAGGCTGTGTAGCTGTAACTTCAAAGTTTCACGCATTTCAGAGATTATCAGTATTCTCGGCAAACAAAGCAGCAAGGCCTTGAACATCATCAGATCTCGACAGCAGAGCTGAGCTAAGTGCATAGGAAGCCAGCATGGGCACAGCTACTCACCACACCGATTCCTTCCACGGAAAACACTGCCAGGCCGAAGAACAGTGCCATGTCGGAGACCTTCTTCGGATAGAGGCGTGTGTCGGACCAGTGCAAGTGGCCGCACAGGTAGTAGAGAATGATGACAATAGAGATGCTCTGCAGGACATTGCCTATGCCGGAGAAGATGGCTATCTGCTTCAGGTCGCGTATCCACACTCCAACGATTAGTACGGGTATAAAGATCAGGATGAGGTAGTGATAGTCCAGGTCGTAGCGCATAGCTTCCAGCACCTGAAAGCAACAGTAACACCAGACATCAAGACTGAGAGCAATACATGATGGACAGTGTCACATACAGTACTGCCGGGTGCTGAAGAACGGAGAGCCGAAGAACGACCAGGCTAGGATTTCACAAAGCACTGCATACCAATGTGAGCCGCAGTCAGCTAAAACATGTCTTTGGGGCTTCATAAAATTCTTGAGACATGACAGAATGAAGAGTTGTTTCTGTCGAGCCCGTTTACGCTGTGCTTCATTCATCAACCGGAGGCGTGAGCATCTTGTGGAACTTCGTTCTCAAACTGCGGTCTAGTCCAAGCAGCTGGCGAGCAAAGTACTTTGTAGTAACATTTTTTCCGGAATACATTTTTTCACCCAAAGATATGTTTTAGCTAGCTGTGGCCCATGTATACACAGTGACTCAACTCTGCATAGATTGTAGACTTGTAGTGCATGAGAATAAGAACGGCCTAGGCTAGGAGGCTGACCCACAGTTCTTTAGCACCCGATAGTACTGTACAGTACACGGAGATCAAAACCCAGCGAGGTGAGACAAAGCAACTTCGCGCACCCGGCACAGTAGACATATGGCGTCTTTAAATATAAACAAAAAAATACTATGGGGGTCTCCCAAGGCAGAAACTTGTGTGGCCATGATACTTCGCGGACCTCCGAATAATGATAGGGCCGAAGTTGCCATCACAGCACAACCACCACCAACAGCAGTGCACGTATTGTATCGTATCATCATCATCACCACCACCACCAACACTACTGCACAGCTCTCTTACCTGCGCCATATTCTTCGATATGAAGACAAAGTAGATAGCGGTGAAACCAAGCTGTGTTATGATCAGGAAAGCATTCACAGTGCGCCTGCACATAAACACACACACACACGCACACACACACACAACATTCAACTGTGATAAGAAGGGGAACTGATAAGCACATTCCGCATTTCAAGGGGAGGGAGGGGGGGGGGGGGGTCTGGGATAGCAAATTTCTGTGACGTGGGTTCGCAGCATAACCTATTATCAGACGGCAATGCAGGACTGCCAGAAGCAGTTATTGACCGGGGGGGGGGGGGGGTCCGGCCATATCATAGCCTTTCATACTTTGTGTATGTAGACCTCGCTTATCCAGTCCTCTTTTATCCGGATCCCTCGCCATGCGGAAGAAAATAGCTGGTTACAGATTTACAGCATACGTGATGCATCCAACATAACCGGTGTTCGGTTATCCGGTGCCCTCGTCTATCCGGATACTTTTGTGGGAAACGGATGTGTGCGGTTGAGCAAGGTGACTCAGGTCTGACTGCAGTACATGTAGCAGATACACACAATCAGCTGAGCAGTGAACATGCGTTGGTGAGCACAAGTTGGTCCGTTGATGACCTGACCAACCGGACCGGTCCCGCCGCGGGCCTGCAATCCATCACAGTTTCATCAAACATTCCAAGTTTGAAATAGACTGTCGCCATGGTGCCAAGAGAAAACAATGAAATTCACTTCCTAAAGTGTAGGATGATGTCAGGTCATTCATGTTACCCACAGTACATGTATACGTACTTCTTTCTTCAATATCCAGGGGCTCTAATGCAGCCAATTACTAGTAATCATCTCTTAGCCACAATCAGATCGCCACCACCACCACCACCACAGTATCTCGTAAACGTATCTAGTAGTCTGTGAAGAAAGGCGTGAAGTTATTTCCATACTAGTATTCAAATGGATGTATACTTCTGAAGAGGGAGGTCATTGTTCTCATGCCATGAAGAGTAACCGGCACCGCAGTAAACACAACTTCTGGCCAGGCTGAGTCAACGGTGCCAAGAGGACATACCGAAATAGCTTTGGTAGTCCGGCACGCGTGAATCTCACGGCAATGCTTAGCTCCGCTGTGGTAGCGTAGTCCAGCTGCTGCTTGTTATGGCTGAAATGCACAGACAGACAGACACACACACACACATACACATACACATAAATACAACACATGGCACATGGAGGAGAAAGCTGCATATCAGCCCTGCATACTGGTATGTACGGATGGACCGAACCTTCACTTTGACACCGGGTCAGTCTTTTAAGCCAGCTTCCAACACCGGCAATAGATAAGGAACCGTTGCGGATCACTTTGTTTGCCAGGCACGATAATATCAAATGCTGCTCAAAGGAATTCGATTACGTTAGTCAAGTACCGGTACGTGCAGGGCGCTGTGCAGCCCTAGACCTGCGAACACCGGGATGTGAACCGGTGCAGGGCACAAACTTGACTCATACAATAGTTCACGGAGCAGCACTGCACATGCCGTACACAACATAGTCCACACATGCACTAGAGTCTAGAGGAATAGGTAAGAACAGCAGATACCAGTAACTACATGTAGTGTTAACTAGCACATGGCACATTCATTTGGAGACTGAGACACCAACTGAAACGCACAGGAACACAATGAGAAGTCACTACTAGGAAAACACGGCAGCAAATGAGGCCCCAGAGCACAATCTCTGCCTGTTTGCTTACAGCACAGAGGTGCGTGACAACTACTAGTACCCAAACTAGCTGACATCCACACACACGCACACCTGCATATCGATCAATAGACTTGACTGTGACAGGTCACACTTGTAAAGACACCAGACAACGGTGTGACATTACACAGCAGTGGAAGCCACCAGTACAACCAAGACGTGATGGACACATAGACAGGCGACCTGACTAACACAGGGTAGCCGGAGATGTCAAGCAGTGCTGCTGTGTGTGAGTGTGTGTGTGTGTGTGTGGGGAGTCTCACTTGCATGATAAATCAACACACACAAACACAAAAGAGGCTAGTCCACGTGCTAGCTCTATACAAGAAAAGCCAAAACAACACCTTTCTCGCGCACCACACGTACAGTGCAGCTGCTCACTGAAATCCAGTCGAGTCACTCAAGTACACGTTGGGTGTTGCACAACCCTAGACCTGCAAACACTGGCCTGCGAAATGGTGCAAGGCGCAAACTTGAGTGACGCGACTGGATTTCAATGAGCAGGACTGTAGGTAGAAAAGATTACACACAGCTTGTTAGGGTGTATAGTGTACACACAGCTTGTTACGGTGTATAGTGTACACACAGCTTGGTAGGGTGTATAGTTTATCACGCAGTATTCGTAAACCACGTGATACTAGTACATGTGATTTAGAACCCTGCTTCATTTGACAGAAAACAGGGCAACTTCAACCGCGAGGTGATTCGGTCATCTTTTACATTGCGTCATTACCGTTAAAATACCTTATTGCTGACTTTCAAAACGCATGAGCGGTAGGGTATGAACTCCATCATTCTGCGAGAATATCGAGGCTACCCCACCTGAGAATATCGAGGCTACCCCATCTGAGAATATCGAGGCTACCTCACCTGAGAATGTCGAGGCTGTCCAGTCACCTACTTGTGCCTATATTCTAGTATTCAGTAGTGATGTAACGAATAATCGATTATTCGAATTTCCTCGATCTCTTGGACCTCAACGAATAATCGATCGGATAAACTCTAGGTCGAAGGTTCAAAAATTCGAATATTCGAGGGCGGGCGAAGTCCGTGTGCTGCATACCGCGCGCGCGACTCTAGATCTCTCGACTTGAATGCATAAACATTGTACTTGACTGTGTTGCAGAGAACGACTAGACTACGCACGGTAGACCATGGTAGACTCTACTCTGACTCGAGTCTGAGCACTTGTGTTGTGTGTTTGCTACATGTACACTTCGCATTCGCAATAGTTTTTGATAATTGTCGATAATAATTTTTCTAGTGAAATAGTAGAATACTGTAATTGTTTGTTCGCTTGAGTGGTATTCACTAGATTATTCGTTCGTAAAATTCATGGTTAGTTACATCACTAAATTTCAGCACAGTGCATTCATTCAGACTTTCCCTGCTCAATGAACGTACGCAATTCACTTGTATTCGTCAGCTCCCAGGTGAGTCCATCTAAGAATATCGAGGCTACCCCATCTGTCATCACACAAGATTCCACACAAGCATGAGCATCAGCTGGCAAAGTTCTTACAAAAGCTGCGGGCACTGAAGCTGAAGGCAGCAAAGTCCCTACTTCTTGGTGCAGCTAACTTCATGATAAAGGACACACCGTTCAATGACTCCTTTAAGGACAAACCGTTGGCTGACTCCTTTAAGGACAAAGAAGTGCGCCAGAGTTGGTACTACTCATTCCGTAAGCGCTGGGGAATCAAGCTTAAGAACCAAACTCGCCTGGAGATGGAACGAGCACGCTGGGCCACTGCCGACCATCTCAAGACTTGGTACGACGTCGTCGAAGAAGGCATGATGAGCTGCGGTATTGCAGTCGAGAATGTATCCTTTGACGAGAAGAAGCCCTACGATGTAATGTTCCACATCACTGACCCAGACCTGGTTGTCGAGTGGGACTAGACAGACTTCACCCTGGACCAGACAGACGACGGAAAGGGGCCCACAAAAAAGACCATGACAATTGATGCTGACGATTCCGGTTAATGCGTCGCCAACAAGTCCAAACATTCACTGGACTCTCACTGGTGGGTCATTCATGACCAGTGACTCCTTGCCTGGCTGTGTGACACCTCCAGGGGAGAGTGTGCAGCTGATCCTGTGCAGCTGATCCACCTAGATCAACCAGTGTTGACCCCAAGACTGGCAAGGGGCTGACCTTGCCAGTGTTATCCACACCCTTCTGGTGGATTTAGCTAAGAGTTGGCTCCACTCTGGCTCAAGGAAGCGGTTGCCCCATGCCTGCCGAAGAAGCCTGGCAAGACGGCATACGGGCCCTGCGATGGCTATGGTGCGCATACCACGCTTCCAACGGCACAGGCTGCGGAAGAGGTTGGTGCCACTCTTCAGCTAAGCGTGCCACACATACAAGCCATATTTCGCAAGTGGCAGACGTCGCTAACTTCCCATTGTTCAAACGGAAAGCCGAGCAAGCGAAATCTGACCTCCTGGTGAAAAAGGTGATGGACGGCCAACCACCCCCCACCCCCGCTTGGCTACACCGGATATGGGAATTGCAAAAGGTTGAAAAGACACATCTTGCAGCCCTGTTTCTTCCGACCCAGACACCATGAATAATGGGCACTGAGACCAATGCTGCTCTTGCTGCTTCCTTTGAGCAGAAACATGTTATTTTACTTCAGTGTTAAATAATGACAAACCACTAATACCTTTAGTCATACTCGACCAGACTTTCGTTCAGGGAAGCCACACCTACACAATCACCCACACCTAAAGGGCAGTGAGCAGCACTGCACATGTACATGTACATGTGCAGTGCTGCTCAGGGAACCCGATCTCGTGGGTAAGTTTGCGCCCTGCAGCAGTGAACATCCCAGTGTTTGCACGTCTAGGGCTGTGCAGCGCCCAGAGTGCGTACTTGACTCGAGCGATCAGATTTCATTGAGCAGCACTGTCCATTCCAAGTTTCCAACACTACACAATAGCATGTGCATCATGTAGCATCAAACTTACAGGTCACAGAGTCGATGACTTGCTTGTACTAACATCAGCATGCAGTAGACAGCCACCACGCACACTAACACCATACTGGCAAAGCCAACCTGGCCAGAACAGGGACAGTGGAGCAGACACAACACAGAGCAAACCACAGCACAAACGGAGTTGGCTGGAACCGCTACAACAGGTGCATGTACAAGCTAGAATTACAATACACCCATACGTAACTTTTCAGCATGTTTAGGTAACAGGTCACTCTAATTCCCTTTGGAGCAGCATTACCCACTGACGTCATTGTCCACCATTCAAACACCAGACAAAGATTAGTAGAATCTGTAGTCGCTT